AACCACTGTACAGTAGTTTAGTCAAAGAATGTGTGGTAGCAAGCAAGCAGAATGCATCTCTACCACTTCCATTTTCACTACTACTTATACAACAAAATTAAATCATTTTTCATTGAGGGCTTGGGTAGAATCTGACCCTGTGTGATGACTGAATTTTTTCTCACTGTGTTTTTATTTGATTTGTCAAATATTGGTACTGCTGTCATCCAGAATTAAATGAGCTGACCTACATTCTTCATTAAATAAAAACCCATCTTCTGAACCATTTGGCAAGTGAAAGTCATGAAATGTTAATGATTTGTCAACAAAGCAGATTATCAAGTATTATGGTCAGTGCTTGGTAATCTACATTGGTACCATCTTTGCGATTTAGCAATGCCTGTATGACTTGGATCTGACGGATTACAGGTACTGGTCTTTGTCTCTTGGATTATTAACCTCAACAGCAGGCATTGCCAACTCTGCTGTGCAAAAAAAACGTGCTGATCTTGCATTTTCCTTTTTGCCCGTTTAATCCTCTGAAGTCAACCAGTGAACAGCTGCCAACAGATTTCGTATGCAGCCTGTCTAGCCTCAATAAATGGACCTTTATTTGACCTGGACTCGGGTATCCTCTCATCTTAATGTATTCAGGCCATACAATTAGGTGTCAGTCGCTATTTTTCCCCCAAAGAAAGGCATTTACTTTGGTGGCTCCTTTGAGGTGGTGGCTTGTTGTAGACCGAGACAGATCAACACGACACAGTCACATCTCTCTGAAGCACAAAGGCCTTGTTGCACCAAAGATGACAGCTGGCTGGCATGATGATGACAGCATAAGTGGGGCCCATTAGGTTTGGATGAGGGGAAGCTCTGGTAGTTAAGAAGAGGATTCTCACAAACCTGTCTCTTGCAGGCCTCTTTGCTCTCGTGTAATGTGGAGAGCTTGCTTTCAACACGGTACTTTCAAGTGAACAGGATAGCTTCACAGGGGGCTGCAGGGAGAAATGAGGTACAATCATCTCAGTCTTCAATCTCAAAAACCTTAGATCCCTTCAGGGAGGCCTCATGAGTGCTGTGGTAATACCTCCACTAACCGGGCCTGCCACTTCCCATCAGTTCTCACTAAAACGGGTCATGATATATAGAGAAAAGTTCATTGCAAAAGAGAAGAGAAAGTTGTGTACTCCTATGTATGTACAACCCATGACAACATTCTTTACTTCCTTCCATGGCCTCATAGACTTGGTGGTACTTAGATAACTCATGGGATAATCCTTGGGTGAAATTATCAGTTAGGTAAAAAAAATACCCATCCTGAAAATAAAGATTATTTTCTTTCGACAACATTACTTTGCTATGAATATTTACTTAAAGGTGAGAAACCTTCACAGTTGTATTACAGTTTAAATAAAAAAACAACAAAACAAACCCCAGACTCTGGCATTGCTGGAGTTTTTATGGTCACGACAGCTCTTTTGACGGTTTATCTTCTTTTTTTTAACTGGCTTGCTGCACTTTGATGTATTGAACTGCAGTTAAGGACATTGAATTTCATCAAACAAATGCTCTGCCCTCTGCTGATGCTGCTGCTGATCTCCTATGTGTCCCTGTCTCAACTTCCACAGCACGAGGAATAAACTTCCTTGCCATCTGAACTTTCACATTAATCTCCAAATGACATTGATGCATCATTTGTGCCACACACGCGTGCATGTACCCTCACCTATCGCACTCTTAGACTAGTGGAGTTAAAGGAAGCACTAGACGAGGATGTATTATCTTGTGTATTATTATTTTTGTGTGTTGATTCAGGCAACCAAAAATACCAGCATGCCATTGAGGATTTGAAGTGACTAGAAACAGCTGTAGGACTGAGGCATAACCGTGATAACATACTCGCCCCACACTCATGAATCACTTATCAAGGCTTTTGGATAGTTATTTATAGTCATGCCTACATTTCAGTGTAAGGTCAATGACATATTTAGAATCATACATCTAAACCGCATTTGATATAGTCCAGATGGGGTGCACAGTGGTGTTGAGGTGTGTACTAGCATCACTCTGCACGAGGGTTTAAAATCCCAGGTGGAACTTTGCTATGTTCTGTCTGTATGCACCAGCTTCTTCCCACTGTCCCATAATATGCACGATAGTTCTTTACTGAGCAGCGAGTATGGGTGTGTTTGTCTTGTTCATCACACTCACCACCTCACAAGATATTATCATGATTAAGACATTTCACGACTGAAATGTCTTCCTTTTAAACACTTGTTGCTGCTCGATACCACTATTCACACAAGGATGGTTTGTATTGGTAGGCTGGTTTTATTTGGCTGATTCGGGTTTCCTGATGGCATTTAGGTATTTCACTGAGTAAGAAAAATAACTAAGCTATTTATATTCATGACAAAGAAGCTCACAGCATATCTTTCACTGTGTTTATACGCTAAATAAGTGCAGAATTATATGTTAAAAATAGTGATAAAAATTATGTTGAATACTTTTGATAAATGAACCTTTACTTAAGATACCTTGAAAGTCAGTGCTGCATGATGGTCTTCCTCACAGCAAGGATTTCTAGTTCCAGTCCAGACTGGGAGGCTTTCTGTTTGAGGGTTCTCCTTGTGTATGGGTGGGTTCTCTCCTGACATTTTGGCTTCCTCCCACCGTCCAAAAATGTGCATGTTAGACCAATTGGAGACTTCAAATTGATCTTGAATTGTCTCATTCATGTGACCCTGCGTGACCCTGTGATGAACTGGCAACCTATCCAGGGTGTGCACCAACTCTTGCCTGATGACAGCTGCAATAGAGTTAGAAATAAAAAAAAATTATAATCTATATCATAAAGTCTTTTTCCAGGAAATATTTACTGGAAAAAAACTAATTATTTAAAGTACAGGTTTTGGTTCTTTGCTGAAAATCTATGCAAGACTAAAAATTTTAGAAATTGAGTGAAAATAAAGGGATGAAGTTATTATGGAAAATAAAAGTCCACAGCACAACATTAGGGATTCTTAGATCCTTTGTGAGCAAAGAGAATGAGAGAAAACTGATACAATAGCTGAGGGGGGAAAACAAACTTCCTCCTAGCTGCACAAACCTTTAAGTAGTAGATAATGAAAAATTAATACCAAAGATATCTCAAAGATATCTAGTTGATTCTTGTAATTTTTTATAGTTTAATTGAGAGCAGGAATTTAATTTTGATCTTATTATTTTTTACTTACACTATGTATGGTGAGAGAATGCTGCCATCTGAAGGCTGGGCTTCACCATGCTTTATGAAAAAAGGAACCATCCCAACAGACCTGGTTGTTAACCCAGACTGTTAACTTTGAAGTTGAAAAGAAATGAGGAAGAGGAAAATCAGCTGCACGTTCTTCCTGGAATCAGTTTTGCAAACATGATAATATAAAAACAACAACCGTTGAAAGGTTGTGGTATATCTTGATGACTTTTCAGTGATAAAAACAGGTTGCACACAACCTCTGTCATTATCTTTTAGGGAAGAATGACATTTTCTGTCTGAAATGTTCTTTAGTTGTAAAGTTCTGAGAAACCTTAGGTCATATCAGGAAAATAAAGTATTCTGCGTATTAAAGCATAGACTAGATTACTGTGAGATGTTCAAATTTTAATTTTAAAAGCACATATTTGCTGTGACTGTGTCCTCCATGCAACATTTTTGCTCTGATATTTTAGAAATCAAGTGAACTTTTAAGCTGCTTGCAGGCATGCAAAAACAGGGGAAAAATCCAAATCAGCTATTTCAAATGATCAAATGTTTGAGTGATTAACAGATTATTTAGATTAACAGATTGATCCATTTAATTAGTTATTAATTAATTTGATCAACTAGATTAATGCTGAAACAGAAACAAATCATTGTATTCATGGCTTGATTTTATTTGTCATTTATCACTAAGCTATTAGACATGATAGTTTTGGAACTCTCATATTTTAACCAACAAAGATTAAGAGGGTGAAATTTCATAGTAGCAGTTTTGACAATAGGTTTGGTATAAAAAAAAGTCCATCTAAATTGAAGAGATACAAGGACGGGAAGGCAAGTGTGAAAAGCCATGACAAATTCATTATCTCCTCCTACTATGCTGTTTTCTTTACATTTTTAACCAAACAACCGCAACACTGAAGCAAGCATTGGTATAATCATGTCTCATACCAGTATAACAGATACAATGTTATAAAGCATAGTAAAAATCAAAAGCCTCAAACATATATAGCACTTTAAAAAAGCAGTTAGTCAAATGTGAAAGTGTCACACATTGACACTGTGACAAAGTGATGAGATAATAAAAAAAAGGATATTGTGTTAAAAAAAACGACGTATCAGTTTGAGCATGTGGTCTGTAAAATTTTTTATTCAAACATTGATTTCAACTGGAATTCATAAAAAAAGAACAATAGGCTTCACTCATGTTTGCCCATTTGTCCATATAATTTATTTATTCTTTTTACACTATTAGACATCTAAACTTAAAACATTTGGCAAATACAACAATTTGGCAAGAAAACTGAACTGACTGAATCACTGATTATTTCAGTGAACTGACAGAACATTTGCATTCATGGAAAGACCCCCCAAAAAACAGTTTTCATTCCACTTCAAGATAAGTAAAGTGTCTTGACATATGATATTTAGAGACTCTAATGGTCTCTCTGGTGCTTTGACACTTTCACCGACCAGAGATAGAGATAGGGGATAGAGAAGCACAACCCATCAAATTAGTCTTTATTGTAAAAGAGAGAGAGAGAAAGAGGAGATGACAAACAGACAACACTATCAAGAACCAGCTTTTCAAAGTGACTCATAAGTCGGGATTGCAACATGTACATAACTCACAACGCCTAAAACCAAGGCAGCCAAAACTAACAGTGAGTCTCACATCTTCACAGAAATCAAAGTGAAACATCTCGGCAGTCTTTGGCACAACTTTCACGATTAAGAATGGCAACAGAATGTACTGAACGTAAAATTGGCCAGTCTGACATTCACAGCATAAGTTCTGATGCTGTTTAACTACTTCATAAATTTCCTGCCTTGTACACTGATTCACAGATTCTTCAAACACCAGGCATTATTCACAGAGATACAATGAAATCCCATTCATGTCCTGACAACATTTGAAAGTGATAAAGAGATTTGAACATTAATAATATATACAAAATGCCATGTCTTTTGCTCATATATGCAAACAGAGTTTGTGCTCCTTACACTGCTGCATACACAAGAATGATTTACTATCCTGATGGTGATGTAAACCAACATAACTTTAAACTGTGGCACATCTTGGATGCAAAAAAATATTATGCAGCTTTCTTCTACTTTTAATTTCAGGAGCAAAAATGAATAGATAAGCTTAACTGCTATGTTATGATGATTACGCTGATAAAATAACTGCACAGGTGATGAACTTGAATGGAAGCAATGTGATATCCCCGGATTATGTAGTCATGTTTTATAATGCTGAAAAACATAAAATCCAAAATATCTTTGTCATGCAACCAACAACGTCCAGGTAAGCCACAGAGACAAATTTGAATCCCACATAGGATCATTAAAATTCAACCAACAATCATTTTAACCATCTGCTGAGAAAAAAAAGATTTGAGTCGCTACTTGAGATTGTAATTGTAATATAAAAGTTGAGAGCATGGGCCAATGTTTTTAGTAATGCAATGGCTCTTATACACTCTGTGAAGTGATTGAAAGAAACCTAGAAGTGTTTTTTGATGAAAAAAACACATGATATACAACTTCCATTGGCAGAAAAGACTTCCATGTGATTTCATTTTGTGCTACTTAATGAGGACATCACTGGGATTTATAGTCTGCCCAAGAACCAACAAGAGAAGAAGACACAATTTTTTTGTAGTCAAGTAGCAAACAAACAAATAACTAGCTAACTGGGCATTGAGATGAGCTACGGTTGGTGAGTATAGTCTCTTTATGATGCCTTCAACAAAAAAGAAATAGCTTTCAGTGGCAAAAGTATCCAAAGAAAAAAAAGTCAAAACAAAAGAAAAAATTCCCTCTGTGTAAAATATGAGCCTTCCATTTGTTTATAACACAAAAATGAACAAGTGACCTTTGGTCTCACAGGACAGTAATTTAACGAGGGAGACTACTAAGGTAATGTGTGTCTATGTCCTCTTCATACACTTAGTTAGATGACGGTTTTATCTTCCATTACTGAGTCAATAACAAGTATCAGTTAAAGTAGTAGTGCAAAGGCAAAAACAAGGGAAAGATTGAGATATGCACAGATGACTAAGTTACCTTCACATTTGAGTTGAATACAATGCATAGGTGACCACATCATTTACATTTTTTTCATAATGCGTCACGTAACTATTTCGTATATGTTTTCTTCTTCTAAATATTGTTCACAAACCACCGTTTTTTAAGTGTGCTGTATATCCCTTCATGAAAACATGAAAAACATGAAATTTCCCTTCAAAGAGCTATCAACCCCAGTACCACTTGTCAAGGTTATTGAATGCCTTGTACTCTTTGTGCCTTCTCAGATAATCACAGGCCAGGCATGTGTGTTCTGCCCAGAAATGAGCTTTTTTTACTTTAAAGTGCCGCCGCCATGCAAAGTACTTGAGGTACATTTCCTCATTCTTATCCAGGAGCAGCAGGTACTCAGCCAGTTCCTTCGCTGAGGTGAAGTCATCCACGTGGATGAAGGCGTCTCCTGGAATGAAGTTCTCATAGTTCTGCCTCGGTGGGCCTAGGACCACTGGTACTGTACCTAAAGAAAGTGGGTTGTACAGTTTCTCAGTAATGTAGTCTTTGTGGATCGAGTTCTCAAAAGACAAATAGAACTTGCAGCTTGCCATGGTGGGGTTGTAGTCTTGGTCAGTGATGTATTCCCCAAAGGCCTGTCCATATGCGTGAACCTCAATGTGTTTATACAATTCATTGTAATACTTAACCCTGGCATGATCCTGGTTCCAGTTGCTCACAATCCAGCAGATCAGCTTGGTTTTGCTAGGTGGTACAAAGTCCTCTTCAGTCTCTTCTGGGATGATAGACCCATAAGGCACGGTAATGTCAGCATCCTGACGGTAATTGAGAGTCATATTGAACAAGTTCTCAATACCGGGAAGGCGGGATGAGTGTGAGGGTGACTCCAAGTTCATCCATATCCACTTCTGGAATGCTGGCCGCTGCGGCGGGGGAAGGTTGGACAGGTCACTGGAGATGTCTCGGTGATGGATGAGGACTCCATCTGATTTGTTGTAGAGGTTTCTGTCTGCTGTGATGGAGCAGCCTTCGATATTAAAAACAGAGCTGCAGAGATTCAGGTCATAGCTTTGTCCAAAGGGCCAAAGCCAGACCAGCACAGTGGTTACATTTTTATTGGTCTTGCTGGAGAACAGGTTCTTGACACCATTTGTGGATTCCGTTGAATAGACTGGACTGTAAAACCAGTTGCTGGATGGCTTAAAATACATTAAAAACAAAGTCACAAAGCATCCTAGAATAAAAATAGCAAATAGTAGGGGTCGTAAGATTTTGTGAAAACTTGACGATGACATGCTCTGTTTGGAGAAAGGTAGAGCAGAGAGAAAAAAAGAATATAGTCAAGATCAACAGTACAAATACAAATACAAGCATCACCAAATTATGTTCTTGTGTTATGTTTATAAACTATATATTAATTATCTTACTGGACGTTGACTCTAAATAGGGTTAAATGTATAAAATCTTGAATCCTGAATAAATATCCTTACATATTAATAATATAGATGTATACGGTTTCCTTATAACATTGTCATACAAACCTGGATTTGACTGTATGCTGAATATCCACTCAAGAGTAGAAATTTTGAGAATCAGTGTAAAGACAAGGGAAAATAACTTTCCTGCATGATCACAGAAAAAAGAAAGAGGTCAAAGATTATAGATGTTTTCTTCTTTTTTAAACAACTTAAACATTGTACTGTATAAACAGGGATGCCAGGAAAAGTGTGTGCAGCTGTTTGGCATTTTCACTGCAGTTTTGTAGAAACAGGTCTTTCAATACTTATGGAACCTTCATATCATCAAAACTTGGAAAAAAGAACACTTCTTTTTTTCCCTTTAGTCTGTAGTTAAAATGTGTAAAATGTTTTAAATGTGATTTTTTTTATTTTAAATGGCAGTCTTTTAAAGCTTTTAAAATACGTTTTGAGAATTTTAATGGTCTATTAAAGGAGTTTCTTTTCAATTTGATCGTTTTCTTTGACAGTGGCTTAAAAGGTTTAAAGTTTAAAGATATGTTTAATTACAATTCTTGTTGGGCGTGAAATAAATGTGTTCATGTGGCTTGCTAGTCATCCCTGTCATAGTAAAGCTTGACTATGGGGGAATGAACTGCCTTTCTGCTGATGATGATTAACTTAAGCTTTACTCTCGTACTAGTTTCTGCAACCGCAGACATCAAGGAAATAGCTTTGCATGAAAAACATGGCACACGGTAAAACCTTTCCAGGACTTAAAATTTAGCATTGTGCCACGCCAGGAGGTTTACAGTCTCTGAGACATCCATAGCTGTAAATGACTTAACTCAAGCAAACATGATCAGAAGCCTGAATGACAAATGTTACTTTATGAATTGTGTAGATAGTCCCTGTTACTGATAAGATAGGTCTCCACACAAATTAATTGTAACTAAAGACACATTCTGAATGAAAGTTGAAAGGTCCTGCTTCCTTTACTCACTCGTAGGCGTAAAAATGATAATTTGCCAATCATTTCAGTTTCTTTTACTTTTGAAATTGCTATCTACAGGCGTGGTTGGTTACAAACTTAAAAAAAAAAAAACTGTATGTATACACACACACATACACATACATGTATTTGTTTTCTATTGTGTGTGTGTGTATAAAATATATATATATATATTCTCAGAGATTCCATAGATAGATGTCACAAAAAAAAGAAAATTAAGGTTTGCAAAGATCTATGCTGTATATAAAATAGACTCATTGTGTTGTTATTTAACTTTGACTTTGCATATGAAAATGAATGTATTTTGTCTGCACCCCTTTACTTTTCAGTCTAATTTTGATTATTTTTCTTTTCTTGTTTTTCTGCCTTTAAATTCTCTGCGAAGCCCTTTGAATTGTCTTGTACGCGAAATCTGCCATACTAATAAACTTGCCTTGCCTCGACTTACAGATTGAAACAAGGCAACAAACAATCTATAGAATTGTTTCAGTAAGAAATCAGATATCTTCAAAAATATAGTGAGGTCGACTTATTGTTTTTTGTGGTTCTGTGAACAATGAGTGTTTGAAAATTAGAGTAACAAACGATCTGCGTATGAGTGTATGTATGTAATTTAGTTTGTGTATTTTTTTTTGCAAGTTTTGACAGGATAGGAGCTATTTAACGACGCCCAAACATCTGTGAAGAGTGAGTTGTCCTTATGTGTGGTAAAAGGCAGTTTTACGGGCTTCTTGTCTCACCTTCTGTAAGTTTTATGCCGGAGGAGATGAAGACGGCTGATCAGAAAGTTGTCTGATGAATGTGCAGTCAAGGTCGTGTCTATCCAGGTTGGAGATGGAACTTTGGTACCTGGGACAATTATCCACATATCCACCCAGAAACCGAAAGGGGAGGGAAATCGGAGAGGGCAGGCGCAACTTGATAGGAACCTCCCTCTAACGAATGTGTTCTCAACACCTTATAACACAATCAGAACAGTAGAGGCAAAATGTAACATTAGGCACTGAGTTTTAAAATCCAGTCAACACACTTTTTATTAAAGAAACCTAAGGTAGATTTCTGGCAGAAAACAGTTCAGCACACCTGAAGTGCTCTGCCGGACACACCTTAAGTATACATATTTCTGTATTTCTGTAGTCGGCGCTTAAGGTACTAAAATGTGAAATATTAATTGCATGGCAAAAATACAAAATGACCAGATACAAACGTGGTATGATGAGAAAAATAGCAAGAAATCTAATTTAGCCCAGTTTAATCTAATGGGTGCTGTGCTGGTTTTTAAAGGTTTGTTACTCTGTATAAAATAATAAAACAAAGGTGCTTCTGAGCCATTTTTAAACACATTTTTGGTTGCCACGTAGTGTGACTTCAGCCCTATCCCATAATTGCATTATTTGCAATTTTTGCCGGATTATTAGTACAAGTAAAGCTTCCCCTTCATTTTTATAGTTGTTGAAAGCTAAAATATATTATTTGTACAATGATGTATCTAAGAGGAAACAAAGCAGGATAATTATTTAAACTAAACCAATAAAGAAACACAAGAAAGGGATTTAATGTACAAGGACCAGCATTTACTTTTGTATTTGGAACACAAGTGAATACTGGGTTCAGTTATACTATAAATAAACAGGAAAACGGATGCAGAGTTGGCTTTATTGTAGCTGGTGGTGGTAAATAAGGATTTTTCTCTCTTTTTCTTTTCAGTTTTATTTGCTTGGCTATGAGAGAAAGGTTGCTGACATTGAAAACTCATAAAAACTATTATTAAAATCCTCACTCTACAATGTTTAGGATGAAAATAATTCAGTGGAGTGGGGATGCCTTTTTGGGAAGCTCATCAACTTATTTGTTCTCAGTGGTCAGCTCCTCACAACAACTTTTGGTACGCTACTCTTGTCAACCAAATAAACTTAAGACAAGCACCAAGATCTCCCGGAGAGAAGGAAACACCGATAGGTATAATAACACATCCTTGGCACATGTCCTAAATTCCCCAAGTGATGTGTGATCAGATAAATATATGACTCAAACACAGAACTGATCTTATCGAAGAAATAAAAGGCATGAAGAGAGAAATGACAGTTGGAAACAGAACAGAAAAAAAAAACATGACGCCACTTGTAGGCCACAAACTACGTGCAACACTAAATATAGATCTGTTATCTATATCTTTTAAATAAACGTGAATTGGCATATAAGTTCTCACTGCCCAGCAAAATGATGATGCTGGATCAGAAATTTGAGTAATAAACGACTAACCCGTTTAACTTCCCACAAAGTATTACCCCAGCGTCAAGGTTAGAAAACAAAGGCTGCTAACCTACAATAGACTTACAACTCTGACTTTTATTTGAGATTTGTATTTTTAAATATAAGTTTTACATTCTTTTTTTATGATACAGGGTGAAAACATTGATAAATTAAATAACTTACATGATTAGGAATGTAATGTTGTTATCATTTTTAGAATAACAATATTGTCAATCCTAGGTCCTTCTGCACACTTCCATTACCCTGAGAGGGATACGAGGTCCATCTGATTTTACAAACTGGACACCCGGGTTACTGATACTTACAGATACTGAAATCAGGATGGAAGTGTATAGTAAATGAGAGAAAAACTTTCTGATAGTGATTTATTCTCTATATGAAATTTTTTTAAATGACAGTTCAGCATGATATGGCAGGCTAAAGGATGTTCTCATTCTTAAGTATTAAGCTCTCTCAACAGATTTTCAGCGTGCCTCAGATTTTTCCACACACTTCACTTGTTTTTATGCTACTCTTTTTCAAAGCCACCATCTGGTCCTAAAATAAATCTTGTATCATAACTTCATTTTGAAGACTTGCAAGCTGGAAATATTTTTCTTGTACTAATTCTGTTGTCTAAAGGAAAGATTTAGGTAGCAGTTGAATTGGTTTTGTGGCTAGATGTGCCACACCTGTCTAAATTCTCTGTGGGGAGCCTGAGCTGTTAGGACGTGCCGCTCCTGCTCTGAAAATGAGGCTAGCACTCAAGATAGGCTGACAGCCTACTTAGGTAAGAGTAACCATTCTCATCCACTGTTATTTCAGACTGACCTAATGTAGACTTGTTAAAGCTGATTAGAAAGTCAAATTGAATCTATAAAGGAAAAGAAAGAAAAACAACTTTCCCTGCCAGTTTTCCTCCAAAACGTAGCGCTTTATGTCCCAGTTTGGCACCTTTTCATTTACATTTACATTCATGCATTTAGCAGATTATCCACAGCGATTTAGAAGAAGGGAGGGAAAAAAAGGAGGGAGGTAACAGATGCAGGTAGCTGACTTGGGTTTCAGTTGCACAATTCTGGATTATTGCACCATTCTGCCCCTATACATTGCTAGTCTGGCACACTATGTTGCCCGTTCAGCGAACCCGACACTACAATAAACTGTCGGTATTGTTAGTCATTTTAGAATGCTGCTTGTTGGTTTCACTGGTATATTATTATGCACTGTTATATTTTTTACTGTTGTGTGTCTCAGGTCCTGCACTTTCTTCCTATCATACGTATTGCCTTATTCTTATTTTTGTGTAGTCCGTGTTGTCCTATCTTCTATGGAGGAATGAAACTGACATAATTAAAAGTAAGAAAATTCAAGAGAAAAATAAAACAGACAGAAATTAATTTAACAATAAAACTAAAAAGAATGGACACAAAAATATAGATTTTTTCATTGAAAAATGTGAAAGAAATTTAAATGATGAAATGTGGTAAAGCAAATAAATGGGATATTTAAATCTATGTGGAAAATCTATGTGATGTAAAACATTTTCTAAATTCTTTATAAATTAATGTGTACATTTGAATTGTATTGGTTTATTTATTGGGCATTATTATTATTGGGTATTTATATATTTCTGCTTTTATTATTAATTGTGTCAGTTTCAGTGTGATCCTGTGCTGTGTCTTTCTGTGTTGTGTGATTTTCCTGGCAGAATTGTTTCTTGGTGCACTCTGTAGTGTATATATGGGCAGATTGCAACAAAAGCCTACTTGACTTTTCTTAACTGGCTCTGGCTCTGGGAAACCTGGCGTCCGCTTTTGAGTGGATGGTGACTGCTTTCCACTGAGCTATCATTTGTTCACAAGCACATCTTTTTTGCTCCTCACATTTCTCACATGTTAGCTTGACCGTTTTCTGAGTTTAGGTGAAATTTAATCAAACACTGATTGGAATGTTAATAAAAATGAAAAGATCAAGATATCCGTCCACTGAGCTGCTGTGATTTTATTTTGAGACAAACGATTTTCCTATTGCCGCGACCCCATCAGGGAATAAGCGGTATTGATAATGGATGGATGGATTTTCCTATTGCCATTTGTTTAGTCATCCTTATGCTTAGTGTTAGTTATTTTTTTATTATAAAAAAAGAGTACAAACTCAGCCAAACCTTGTAAGAGGGAAGTTTCCAATCATTACATAAACATCCATCCATCCATTTTCTGAACCGCTTATTCCCTAATGGGGTGGTGGGGGGACTGGAGCCTATCCCAGTAGCCAACGGGCCAGAGGCGGGTGCACCCTGGACGGTCCCCCAGTCCATCGGAGGGTTCAATATTTAAACAGTCGTTTTTTGTATTACTTATGAACTCTTAATGTGCTTACTGTTCACCATTTTACAAAGTTAGAGAAGCAAGTTGCTTAATTTTAATGGTGAGGGTTAGCTAAAACTGTCAGGTCACCATATCTTACAATATCTTAACCATGGAACTTTTTATCTGGAAGCGACATAGAGTCGGGGACATTTGGCTGCTATCTGCATTCTGAGATCAATAGATGTAATCAAATTGAATTCCTGCTTAATCACAGCAGCTTGGTACATGTCATAATAACATGTATGATAGTTCTGCTGGCTCTCACTTCATTAAGTTTTTTTCCTTTTAAAAAATGTCCTATTTCTTATCTTTTCAAATTAATAAGGCTGTTTGTTTGTTTGTTTGAAAAATAAATTCCAAAACTACCTGCACTCATTCCACTGCAAAAAATACACATTCATTTATCTCACAATATAAGTACAATCCATGTGACCAGAGGAAAGATTTTTATTTCCTGAAATAAATCTCAATCATTCCTTCTTATACCTCAGACAAAGCAGCGGTTTCTCATTCTACATATGTGTGTGTTATTGGGCGTTTTTAAAACCCCATTCTGATTTCATTTTTCCAGTTTACCAACATTTTCTTAATCTTGACATCACACAATATTTTGCAATGTTTGTTGTATTGTATTTTTGTCCATTGTAAAAACAAATTGAACTATATGTTTTACATAAAGGCTGCACATCGGTGTGATGGTTAGCACTGTCTCTTCCAAACCAAGACAGCTCCTGGGAATTCCAGCTGAAGCCTCTTTGTGTGTGTCTACAATGATATTAAAACATGCGGGTGTACATGGTTGTATATATAGTTTGTCTCTATGATGGCCCTAAAATAATCTCACTCAGTGGAAACTGGGGTAGGCTCCAGCTACTTCTGACCCTGAACTGGACTAAACAGGTATCACACGTTGACCTACAATAAGTGTAGGAGGTTTACTTTTTTCACCTGTCACAGCCCTCAGCTGCACATCAGTTACAGATCATCCCGCAGCCTGAACCTCTCCTCTGCACTGTCCCTATTTTTCAGTTAAAGAAGCTGGAGAGACTCAATCGTAAGCCTGTGGGTCCAGATGGTGTCAGCTCCAGGGTGCTGAGGCTCTGAAGGTGGCTAGAAGAGAGCTGACTGCATGAGGGAAGAGGGCCAAGGCGGCAGAGGCCCAGAAGATCCAGGTTCACATCCAACGATCCACAGAGTGTGTGGAGAGGCACACAGTGCCTTACAGACTACGCCATTAAAGATGCTTGACGCACTCAACAACTTCTATGCCTGCTTTAAGGACCCCAACAGCTCCCTCAGCACCAGACTCCCCCCCTCCCCGCAAAGCTGCAGACCCTGATTCAAAAACTCCTGACACTCAGACTGAGCTCTACACTTTGCAACTGGGTCCTGGCCTTTCCAGCAGACGTCTGAAGCCTGTGAGGATCCACAATGTCTTCTCCTGACATACACATCTCTGACAACCTGACTTCCTCCTCCAGATGTGCGGAGGAGAAAGCTGCACAGAAGTGGGATGCAGCCATTCCACCATGGACATTTACACCTGGAGGGTTTTGTGCTTCTTCTGTTCTTTCTGTGGAGGATGTTGAAGACCAAGACTAGTCAAGATGGAGTCAGATATGAGAACCAATAGGAGAAGACGGCATTGTCTTGTATATTTAATAATCATTTTGGGGGGATTTAGTTTGAGGGGGCACAACATTTATTTGATGAGGCCAGACCCCCCCCTTGCCTCTGGTGTAGGATCACCAGACTGAGGAACAGCTACTACACTCTATCTCCTCTCCCCATCCCTCCCCTGGCAACCACCAACTGACACATCATGCACAACCTATGAACTTTAGTTGTCACTTAAACTCTATACCTGCACACTTCCTTGTAAAAGATGGTTAAATATTGTTGTACCATTACATTGAAGTTAGAATTCCGATTATACATTAAACAGTTGGGTGTTCTATTACCTTCTTACCGTGCTTTTTCTTTTCTTTTTTTTGCCTATTCGCTCTTTCTTAAATTCTACATATACTTGGTCGACTATTTTCTTTTCTTTTTTAATTAAAATAGTTGTTTTTTTTACCGGGCATGCACTGGGACCACTGTGACTAATTTGATTCCAACTCATGTTTTAATAATTGTTGCAACGGCAATAAACTTCAGATTGAGGAGAAATGAAATTGATAAGCAGAATCACCCTCTCTATGGATCTGATGAAGTTTTCAAACATGATACCTATAAATGGAACATTAACAATTGCGAAAATGTGCTTTTCTCACCGCTTCAAAAATGTATTTGGTTCTTTTTGTATGGCATTTCCTTTCATTTCAATCTGCTAAAGCAAAACGACACCTTCATTCACAACTTTAATAAAGTGGGTTTTTAGTGATAGTGAAGGGGGGCATGAGAGTCGCATGGGTGAGTGGTCTGCAGCAGGACAACAAAATAAATAAATAAATAAATCCCTGCCACTAGTATTGGCTAAATCAGTCACAGAGGTCCTTCCAGTCCAAGATGTGGTTTAAGAAACAGGGACACAAAAGATGCTGAGCACATGTAAAGCAAAGGGCGAATATAACCTTGACTTAATATTGTATCTGAGGGGCTAAATGACTATAGACATTCCATCCCAGGTTAAGATAAATAAAAAAAACAACCTCCACTGAGGGTGGTGGACTGAAGGTCATTTCACATGTTACAGCACAGGAACTATTCGATCATTCTTCAATCTTACAATATGCAGTCCATGAATAGTGGAAATTGCACTGGGATGCGTTCTAGTGACTAATAATATATGACACCCATTCCCGTGGCTCAGAAGCCAAGAAATACATTGCTTGAATAACAGAATGAAGCTGAGATTGCCATTTAATAGCAATCACATAAACGAAAAACCTCCACGACGATGTTCAACGTGTAAATACACACTGAACACACGTAAAATGTGAAAACACCCGCAAAGATCTGCCATTTTTTCAGCAAAAATCGCGGCTAATTAGCCGACCTGCCGTGAAAATTGTGGACAGCAAGGGAAAGGCAAATAAATAAATAAAGAAACAGCCATGCATTTACTCACCATATTTGACAGTCGTGATTCAAAACAAAGCCTCCTTCTCATGTCCCCAGGATGTCCATATCCTTCCCAAAGACACCTTGATATGCACAGATGATATGTATGCTCCTGGAATAATAAACAAAAAACAGAGGAGCTCGTCCGCCTTTAGTGTAGCCCACATCCACCGCCTTCATCTACAAAATATACGTTTACGTTAGACTATGAAAGCAAGGAGCGCTGCATCTTCCTCTCTGTCGCTCTCCCCACGCAGAGAACGGAGGCTGCAAATTAAATAATAATTATCAAGGGTGAGAGGGGAAAAAAAAAAAAAAGGAAAGAGGCGGCTATCTTGTTAGCCCGCACATTAAATTCACGGGTCTGTGTGAAGGGACGCCATGTAAGCTCAGGGATGTGATGCGATCGGGAATAATTCCCCGCTGGCTGCCCATGCGCTACCTTGCGCTGTTTTTTTTTTTTTTTGTTTTTTTTTTACCGTTAGACGCTGCTGCAATCCGTGCGGCCGTGGGATGCTGAGAGACAGTGTCATTGGCTTTTTTGCGGCAATCTGCTTCAGATTAGCGTTTGGACAAGCACGTGCACCGTTTCTGCTGCGAGAACGTGAAATCCGTTCATTTGACTTAGTTGGCTGCGAATAACGGCGGGGGGTTGTGGACCAATACGCGGCCGGAGGAAAGCCTGACCCACGCTCCGTGGAACAGAACCTGCGCCTAAAAAGCAAATTCATGCAAAGTTGTACCAACTGCACTGTTGATTTTTTCTTCTTCAGGGCAGCTACAACATCTTCCATCAATGTTTGTACCACTGGACCCTAAAAACGATAAGCTGATAGATGAATCCCTCCAAAAATGCCTGTTCATAATTGTAGCTGCAGGGGGTGGAAATAACCTAATTTTTTAACCTCTCAGCAATAAGGGTCAAGCTCAAATCTTCCCAAAAAAGACACCTCACCCTTTCAGTAGTCATCTGGAGCAGAAGAAGGCTTACCCAACAGCCAGTTAGTGGTGGTCCAGAACCAGTTCTGGCATAGTCCTATAAGGTGTTCAGTTCAAGTTTCGTTTGAATAAAAAGCAGGTGAGGTAAAACTGTAAAGAGCCTCATCAGCTGAGAAATGGGGATCTGAAATTGTCCTCAGTTAAGCAAATCATTTGTTGGCCCAGGTGAATGAAAACACCATCAGGGAAAGTTTTACCAGAAAAAATGTTCATTTCCAAGATCTATATTTGAAGTGTTGAATATATTTCAAATGAATAACTATATAGATAAAAAAGGCACAATCTCTGTAAGCCCCAGTGGCACACCTCCAGGTGAGCCCCTTTCTGTCAGGACTCTACAGCATCCCTCTCACCGCGTTTTGTGAGGTGGCTGACTTGGCCACTGATGGCCATCCTGTTTCTAATTCCCCACAGCTCTTGGGCTTCCTTTGTCATGCATTTTTTTTGGGTCATCCTCTCGTCCTGTGACGTGCTGCCCCACTTTAAGTTTCTCAATCTCTAGCCGAATAGAAAGTGGGCTCTAGGTCTGGTGACTTCCGTCTCCCCTGACCCTTAGGAAACATTGATTTTTTTTGTTGACTTAAATAACCTGTGTTTGTTAATGCATAACTGGCGGACTGTCCATGGTGTACCCTGCCTCTCGCCCGTTGACCACTGGGATAGGCTCCAGTTCCCCCAGCGACCCCATCAAGGAATAAGCGGTATTGATAATGGATGGATGGATGGATGTTAATGCATAGTTTCAGAGACAGATTCACATCCTCAATATTTGAATGCATTATTTAAATGCATTTGAATGCATTATTAAAATGACTTAAAATGCATCTACTTAAGGTGGCTTTCATTTTGATAAGGAAAACAATGAGGATGAGGGCATCATTCTATTGCCAAATTACTCAAACTTTAAGAAATATAATTATATATTGCTTGTGTTCAGCAATTCTTCAGCAATTTAATATTTTTAAATACCAGGTTGCATACACCCTGTAAAATCCACTGGAAAATGTCTTTATGCAGAAAGGTAAAGATAGTTTATTCTACTCAGCTATGATGTGCTTCAACTGCATTACAACATGCATCATAGCTAAAGATAATAAGATATCATCTGCCTTTGCTTCAGTCACTCATGTTGACTTTGGACTGACAAAATGTTTCTGTCTTTTCATGCACTGTTAAAAATGAGGCAACAGCGTTTTACCCGTCAAATTGTTTGTTTACTTGTGACTTTTCCTCCTTTCCATGATACGGTTCATTCATATCAAGGTTTAGTACAGTTACAGATCAGTGGCAAAAGCAAAACAAAAAAGACACTTGATGCTGTTTATTCTTATTTAAGGCAGTGTTAACACATGCAGGATAACTGTGAATTCCAAAACGTGTGAGCCAGTGCAAACAAGGTAGAAGACAAGCGTTAAGTGATTCAAGTCGCTTTGAAAATAACAACAAACATCAATGAGGCCAAAAAGAACGTGATCAAGTATTCCCTGTGCGCCCAGTGGTTTATAATTAAACCTTCTTACGGTTATTTATTTGCCCCTCGGTGCACCTTCTGCTATAAAGAGCCCTAACTCACTTCATTTTCTTTCAACTGCTTTTTGATCAATCCTGCCATCTTCCTCGCTCACCGCCAAATATTGCTGCCCATTTGCGGGTGATCTCCAGGTAGATTGTTGGTTTATTGGGCAGATAGTCCAGGTACACCGTTTGGCTTGTTTTAGGAACTGCCATTTCAATCTGCGTCCCCTCGTGCCACTCATTAAAAGACGTGACCGAGATAAAATCCGGCCTGGCTTCCAATGCAGCACTCAGAGAAGTTTCATAGTATTTGCCATTGATACGGTTTCGCGTGTTCTGGAAGTTCCACGGTCGAATGCTTGTGTCAATATATCCAGGGCCCACACTTGGAATGAATATCAGGTTGTTATCCTCGCAGAATGCTTTAATAGAGCCCCAGTTACGCTGAGTGGAGCCGTAGGAAAAGCCATTAGTGGCGAAGTAGGTGTAGACCCCATCAAACCCTGCGGTGAGGATATCCCTCTTATGTTTCTCCTCGACCAGCAGGGCGATGAAGATGGCGTCATACGGGGTGTCCCTGATGCTGGTGCTCTCAGTGTGTTTCAGCAGTTTAGCCCACTGCTCTGAGTTCATCAGATATGAGTCATACACATAAAAAAGGGGAAGAACTTTGCCAGTGTTTGTTTGGTACTTGAAAAATGCCGGGTGCTCTCCATATCTGAGAAGAGATTAACAACCTTTAATATTTTGATGTTAGCACAGAAAGTCATTCAAACTGGATGACTTCTCTGAGAGAGCAGGATAATTATGCTGAGAAATCTGAGAAAGGCTGAAGAGATGTGGCGACACTCACTTGTCAATGATGTACCTGACATTGGTGAACATGTTGACTTCATCCCTTCCTCTGTACGGTTCAATGTGGAAAGCAACCTGTGCAAAGAGATTGGACAGGAAGCAAAAGTTGACCAAAAACACTCTCCATAATACACTTAGAATCCTGTTTTAAATATCAAACCTTACCTTAATGTGGTATTTCTGAGCCATCTCCATGAGCGGAGGAATAATGTTGTCTGTAGGCTCACCATTGTCATCCTCCATGTTGGGAGGATACCAGGAAACGACGATGACACCTGGAATGCGTTAAGACTATGTGAGAAGTCAGTATAAAGAGCTGTTACACTGCTAAGAAGAATACTGAACATCTGTAAACACTATTGATCCCTCCAACCGAAATGTTTGTTTCGTACCGATCGCTGCTGTACGCAGCTGCTGCATGTGCGCCTCAATAACGGAGGGATCCCTGGAACTGTAGGCCCCTAGAGAGGGGTAAAAGTTGGACCCAATGTCATCGGGAGGGGCGTGTCTTCCTTGTGGATATCCATGAGCCACCTTGGAGTCCCAGTGTGGAAGCTGTGGATGGTCCCAATGGATGTATTTGCCATCAAATCTGGGGTTACCAAACCATATGTAGTAGAAGGCATGAAGATAGTAGTTTGGAGGTGGGAACTTTCTCAGTGCTGCCTCCAGATCTGCGTCCTTGTTGAAGTGAGCGGAGTCAGTCATTTTGGTCCTGTCGGGGTGACTGTTGTCATCTCTTTGTATCTGTGGATCATTCTCTCTGTTCAGAAACAGCTCAACGTCTTTAGAGCTGCTGAAAGATGAGTCCTCTGGTGAGAGCGCCTTTAAGACCACCGTTACAACGAGCACAAGCAGCACCAGAGCGATCAGTGTGATGCAAGACTTGCGTCTAAACCTCGCCATACTTCACTATAGAGCTTGACGTTTTCCATAGTTCATGGTTAAGCCTGCAGAATGGAAATGGTGCTGGACATGATGCACATGGACCCCAGCATGGAGATCTGGATCAGCCCGGGACACTTTGAATAAACAAGAGATATAACAAATGACTGGCATGACGGACTCCGTTTTAATAATACAGAAGCATTGTGTGTAATTTGGGGAGAGATTTAGCTGAAAGATGTAGCTGCTTTTAAATAAAAACCCTATCTAACTCAGAGGTGAAGCTACGTTTCGTTTAGAGGCTGTCTTCCGGGTATTTTATCAACCAATTTGACAGGTTCACTTTCGATCATGGTTCATACTAAAGGCGTTGACAATCCATTTCTGAACAAATATTAACTGACAAGTTAATTACCTCCTCTGTCTGCTTTGGGTCCGTCTTTCACTAACGTCAAAAGGAGCGAGCTGACTCATTCAACTACATGTGTTGGGTCACCGTGCTCCGAAGGTCTTACAGCGTTGTCAATAGCTGATTAACAACAGGGGCAAAGTTGTGTTGCGCCATGCCGCCAAACGGCTGAGCCTTAGCTAGCCGCACCATTAGCCGCTAATGGCGTTAGCCGCGTTAGCATGAGCTCCCCCGGACCTCAGCCCGTCCCCCGCGGCCGGGCCGGACACGCTAGAGCCACTCTGCGGAGCAAAACGCCGCCCGACGTGTGGCATTACACACGCAAACACACACACACACACACACAGTTCCAGAAAACACTGACGGAAATTCAGGTTCAGCAAACTGTCCTGACAAACCACAGACCTCCCGAACAACTGGTTCGCGTCTACAACGGTCTACAATAGTTTCCCTGAAACCTGGGAGAAAAACATCGCCCTCGTACGTTTGGAAGCTGTATGATAATAAATAAAAAAAACCCTCCTCACATAAAATAATTATTCCCTGCAGCCTTTGCAGCTCCAGTTACTACAGCAGCAATGAAACTGGGTTTTACTCTTAAGTTTCAATGTATTTTTCTCGCGTTGTCTTCAAATAGTTCTTCATTTAGCTTTAATGATTGAATTACATTTAAAATCGGGTAAGCAAACCTATGGGAAGCAACTGAGGACCTGGAATGGTGGAATGTTTTGATATAAGTGTTTGTATTTGAAAAATCACAATCTGGGGTTTGGAAACCCTCAGGCAAGCAGCGACTCACCTTGACCATGGAGGAGCTACGGCCACGGCCACGGCGGTCATCTGGACCAAGAGGGGACAAAAGAAAGGCCCAGTCTGATGACACCTGGTTTCTGAGGCCTGCTGAAAGTGAAGACTTTGGGAAGGAGGGTGACCAGGTTTGTGAAGAGAGGCCGCACCACTGAATTGATGTTCATATTTGGATATATTAGTATTATGATTTGAAGAATGATAAGTTCCTTTCCCCTATTTTCTGTCAGGAGCCGGGACTTCTCAGCCCACAGAGGATCCTCTATTACACTCTCCTTGTTCTAAAAGTCGCACTGTGGATTTTCCTTGCCTGGGTGCTGTCTCACCTCCACCTCGGGGCACCATGTTTTCTCCTATCGCTGACCTTCTGGTTGTATTCCGGGCCCATGCAGGTTGCTCTGAAGTGGGCTAAAAGACGTCTGAGGGGTCAAGCCACGTGAACTGTTGCATAGGGTCAACTGTACGGTCAAATGCCCAGTGACAAACAGTAAAAGCATAAAGGTGCTTAATCACAACCGCCACTGTCCTGGTGATGATTTTGATGCAGAAAACAAAACCTAAGGCGTGCTGTGGAATAGAAAAATATTCCGTTGCAGGAATTTTAGCTCCTTTACCCGCTCCCAAACAGGAAAAGCCCCAACTTAAAATATTTAGCGGCAAATTTTGGAGTGTTGCTTTGTGTACAATCTGATCAAATTTGGATCCAGTCAAAGTGTATCTGAATTCAAGATAGCTTCCTTAAATGGAGAAAAGAAGTGTGTCTCATGATGTGCTACTAAGTGCAGTTTGCATTTAAGGTCCTGGAATCTAATCTTAGTTTTATATTTGTTAGGCAAATAATGTGAAAGTGTGTTGTGATAAGAAGGTGCAATGTCTGATGAACATAATGTATGTCTTACATTATATACATCATGTAATCAGTACATCATGCACATGTCCATCAAGTAAAAGAAAACAAGACAGGAGCAACTTTTGGTTTCTGTTTTATTGAATGTACAGACTTTAAAACAAACTTATACAAATTGCAAAACAGCTTTTGGTAACACTTTATGTTTTTCTGTTATTGTCAAGGAAATAAATTAAGTTGTGTCAAAGTAAGTAATATCTTTAAAGGGAAAAAAAACAAAAAAACAACAACAAATAAGAAAACAGCAAGGCCAAACAGCAGAGAAGAAGAAACATTTTAACTGCATGTGCAGCAGACTGAATCTGAGACACAAACCAGACCGACTGCATGTCTGTGCAACTGTGGTACCACAAAACATTCCAAGATACCACATGCTGGCAATGTGATGAAAACTCCACCTTGTTCTATTTGGAAATGTGCAACATGGAGTGTGACCTGCTTTGCACAGTATTTTGTACAGTAGTGCTGTATTTCTACACCAGGTGGCAACATAGTCCCACTGAAATCTGCTTAAGCTTTTTTACAGAATTCTTGCTTTGCATTCCATTTTTCAAATTAGACAGGTGAAACCTACACTTAAACCAGTGCTCTAACATACTGTATCCTTTTCCTCTTATTCTAAACATTCCTAATCCACAAACATCACACCTTCAGCACAGATATGAGTTAAATCCACCCTCCCATCTTTCACTAAAAAAAACAGACGTTTTTAAAGTGGAAGTAATCCCGACGAGACGAAATAATAACCAGATCTGGAGGAAAAAGATCAATACAGGCTTTGTTTGAGAAGTGGCATGTTTTTGTGTGGGAGTAGAGCTGAGGCACAGGGAGACATAACTCATGTCCAAAGGACCTTGTGTTTGGGTAGATCGTGTCTGATTGAGCCTGTACATTTCATTCAAGCTGGTCTGTTCACATTCACTTCAACTGGCTAACTAACTGACTAACTGAATGTTATGTGTTTGCATTTACCTTTGCACTGGAACCATAGTCTCATATGGAACACAAAGGAAGGATTCCCATCTGCTTTTTTGTAGATGTCAAGGCAAAAATAATGGTCAATCTCCATTTGTTTTTACTGAAGAACTAGAAAGTGTGTCCTGTAACTTGGTCACGTCGCCTCTACACACAAGGCATTTTGTTACATAACAGAAAACCTCTGAAAACCTCAAAATAGCATTGGAAATAAAAACCACCAGAAAGAAACGTTGTTAATTATATTAAAAAAATACCAACAAATAGGCCAAAAAAAGTTAAACAAACAGATTGGTCACAGCAAATCTATGTACACATACACGTTAAGAAAAGAGCTGTCAGTGGAGTAGAGGGGGAAAGAGGAGAGAGATTTGGGCTTTAGATAAGCTCCGCATCTTCCCTCTGCTGGGGGGTTACGGGGGTTGCCATGATGGCAGATCAGGAATGGACAAGATGTGAGCGAGAGGGAAATCCGCGGCTGACCGTTCACCTCTTCTTGGGTGCTTGGGTGGTGCGGGGTGGGGTGACAGGCCGACCAGAATTGACACCACCGTACTGGTACTTGGCCTTCTTCTCCGAGGGCTTGAGGATCTAGGAGAGGAGAAAATATATATATTCCCTCAAAGAAAATACATTATTTAAAAAAATATCACCTCTCTCTTTTTGGTTTTTCTCTATTACCTGGAAGGAGCACATGAGGGACTCGTCAACACTCATCATGCCGCCTGCATTATCAAACTCCCCGCAGTAGTTTGGAGCAGAGAAGAGTGTGACAAGTTGGCGTTTGGCAAAGAACTCATATCCATCCTCCACAACCTGTTGGAAGACGGGCGTTATTCCAACACCTACGGCGATCAATACCAAGCCAGCTTCAGAAACCTGTTTTGCCATGACCGTTTGAGGACTGAGCTGAATCGATAGCAAAACACAGAGCTTAAATAAGCATGGTGCTCTGGAATGTGTGTGGGGTTTTTTTAAGTTGCTTTTAGAATTTAAGTTCACTTTATCAATCTTATCCAGGCTGTCGTCCTGATTACCTGGTGGGCTCGGCAGATGAGGTCCAAGTCATGGCGGTTCAAGAACTTACTGACCACATCTGCCCCAAAGGTAAAGGACACCCCACGGTCGTTCTCTCCCCAGCCCTGCACGTCCTTATCTGGGTCTGACCACAACAAGTCACACAGCAGACCTAGCAGATAGAAGGGAAACAGAAAAATACAAATATAAACACTATAAGGATGAAGGCGTGGAAAAGGTAGCATGAACACAGACAGCAGGTCTGACGTAACACAGAACAGTTTCTGATGTGAGAATCATTCATGCTGAAGGAAGGAGGCCTTTTCCCTCTTCAAACATAATTTACTCGGAGAGATCCAGAGGCAGTGAGCAGTTTCAGGCGGGCCTCAAACTGTACCTGTATCAGGCACATCTGTTGGCCTCATGATCCGGCGAATCTGCTCCATGGACTGCAGATCAGGAGAAAGCCCTGAAACAGAAACAGAGATGGCCTTTCAGATCGGAGAGGCTCCAAAGCAAACCAGTTAAACGGTTGACATTTTGAACGGGGTGCGAGAGGTGGTCCGGCTCCTCACCCCCGTGGCAACAGAAGATCTTCTCGTCGATAATGGCAGCAATGGGGAGGCAGTTAAAGCAGTCGGTGAAGGTCTTCCACAGCTTAATGTTGAACCTGCGCTTGCCTGGAAAAGCACAAACACACGTTTCAAGACCAAACCGTACACGAGGTTCGGAGGTGTTTGTGCGTATAGTTCCACTCTGCTTACACTCGTCATAGAAGCCATATATGCGGTTGATGGAAGCACACTCATGGTTGCCCCTGAGCAGGAAAAAGTTCTCTGGGTATTTGATCTTGTAGGCCAGCAGGAGACAGATGGTTTCCAGGGACTGTTTCCCTCTGTCCACGTAGTCGCCCAGGAAGAGGTAGTTTGCCTCAGGAGGGAAGCCGCCATATTCAAACAACCTCAGTAAATCTGTGTACTGCCCATGAATATCACCTAAAAAAACACAGGAGGAAAAGAAGGAAGACAAGATTTTTTATTTGGCAATATTTAAGAGGACATATACACAGAAGTACTTTGGGGTAAAAAAGCAAAAAATTAAAAAACGAGTTGACAGATTGAGCTTTGTGGCTGTGGCTTTATCAGCAAGCTAAAGGATTTCTATACCAAAAAAGAGTCCTGACACCTGCCAACAGATCTGTACTTTGGCCCACAGGAGATGAACTTCCAGGAACAGTGGTGATCTAGATTTAGCCAACGCAAGGCACACACACACACATCCACACTAACCAATTTTAATTTAGTCAGCTCTCCCAGGACGTAGGGTCGCCGTCCTCTATATTTGACACGAGTGAGGCAGTGATGAGCAAGACTTGCTCTCACCAAAGCACACAATCTCTGCAGTGGAGACTCACTTTATCATCCAGCCTAGACCTGCTTCCTTTTATATCCCTTTGCACCAACTTAAAAGCCGCTCTAATTTGGGTTAAGAGCTCCAGACACAGATGACTGAAGAGCATCCTACCAGAACAGGACAATAACAACAGGCTTTATTGTGACCGAAAAGGAAAGTAAATGCATGTGCCACACTCTTTTTATGGCACTGCTTCATTACACGATGGCACCAAATACGAATTAAAGTAAAGTAAGAGCCCTTGTTAAGCCAGCAGCTGCCTGGCTCCAAGATTAAAATGACCAACAAAACTGGCTGCTGAATGTTGAGGTCCTGAAACCGGTAGGCATATATTCTTTTTTCTATTTTGTCATGCCCATTTGTATTCCATGCACCAAAACCCAAACCACAACTGGCACCAAAACCTATGGAGCTAAAGGCCTGAACTTATTTTTATCTGCATCCCAGGATTCAAAAGCATATTTTTTCGTGCAAATGAATGATTTAAGGAGCAGTTTCAGTCTAGTTCTGACTCTTTACACGGTTCCTGAGGGTTCCACCACCTTTTTCTTTGGTTTTCAGGTTTATTTATCACATTTTTCCCCCAACCCCTGACATGAAACCTTGGTTGCCATCTAGTTTTAAAGCAAATGACAATAATGGTAATGCCTTCCCTCACATCAATAAGATGATATCCAAATTTAAATTGACCGAGTACCACTGGAGAGCTCTAACAGAGATGTGCATTGCTCAGTAGAGATGGATTATTTTCTGTCATCACAACAATCACCAACATGGTCTGCATATTTTTCAGCCAGGACGCGCTGCAATTGAACAGGTAAAGACGTCTGACATTAAGCAAAATGCTGAAATCCTCTGATACCTGTTCCCTGCAATCCTAACAAACACTTTTTCTTGGAAAAATTAGACCGTGGGCTTGGCGTTAATGCTGTAATTTCTTTTTTTTAAAGTTATTAATTAATTAAGCACACCCACTTGATGGAAGGAAAACTATATAACATCCTTTTCAGCAGATTTCTAAATAAAAAAAAAGCAAAAGCACACCGAGAAAAATCCTAAATGTGAGAAGGATGCTTTTATAATCTACGACTTCTTGAAATAACACAAGTTTTCTAAATCATCCCCAAATCATCAGCAGTCAGTGCATCACATGAGGACTGATGAGGTAATGATCATGACGTAATCCATTGTTCTGTTCATCCTCTCTGAATGTGCGTGGAACTCACACTCTGCAGGCCTTCAGGAGTTTGGGTTTGGTGTGTATTCCACAGTTTCTGTACTTATTCTTAATTGTTCCCTTGATAGTTTTTCAGGCTAACTGGTAATGGCAGGACATAAATAACATGGGTCATTATGAAACGAAAAAAGAACTATAAAGGTAAGTAACTACATGATTGGTTGAACTTGGACTGCTGGAACCTCATGATAAATATAAAGCTTTACCACCCATAACATAATTAGAAATACGTAACCATGGATGCTTTAAAATGTCTAAGTATAAAGAGGAGGGACTGTTACTTTCTGACCTGCTATGAGCCAAAGAGCCACCCACAATTCAAATGGATGAATTATGAACAATTCTCTTAATTCTCTAAACAAGATGTGGCATTCCTTAATTCTTATCTAAAGACTCCTTGGAAAGTGATCTAGTTTTGAAGCTGATGAACTTTCTCAGTCTTTTTCAACAAACAAGAAAAAATATGCATATACGTACACATCTTTTTCTTAAGCATTTTCCTCACCTAAATCATAAAACCAAACAGTGGTAAAACTACCAGTTTGGAAAAAACCACACCAGTGGCTTTAAGGTTAGTCTGTGATAGTGTCTCCAAGGAACCTGATCCAGGAGATCTTAGTAAATAATTAAAGACATGAGCTGCTTGGTCTTTATACTTTCTCTGGTGATCCGAATACTTGGCGCGGGTTAAAGGTCTTAAATCAGTCATGGGGTTAGACGTTTGGTAACAAAAAAGGAGAAGGAACCAGGGATTTTCCAGCGCTGATCATTAAGAGAACTTCAAACCTACACACATAAATGGAAAAGATCTTTGGGGGTGCTTGTGTGTATCACATACATGGATGCCATCACTCAGCTGCCAAATAAATAAATACAGATAAATACAGATCTCACGGTCCAAAGATGCCATATCAAACCGCCATTCCCAATGTGTTTGGAAGAGATCAGCGAATAAGACCGTTTTTTTGTCTGCCTAAGGAATGGCATATTCATTAGCTGGCTCAGAGTTTTTCGGGTTGCACTGGTGGGAAGAGATAAAGTATGCTGGAGTGTGAGATATGCAGGAGCCAGCTAGAGATAGGGAGCAGCAGCCTGTTTCAGCTGCTGACAGCAGGAGCTCACCTGTGAATGAGGGACACTGTGTGTGCGTGACAGAGTTACGCAAACTGCATTTATGTGTATCTCTCTTTATAAACACTGGCCAGCTGAGTCAAGACAGTGAGAGACTTAATGTATGACCAAGGCTGTGGCAGAGTTACATAAAGAAATGGATTGGTGCTCTGGGCTTTGCGGTCTGCGCTCTGCAGAGTGGGAGCTAGCCATCAGTTCAACCAACCCTTCAGAGACAGAGTGTTGCTTTCTGCATGAGTTGCACTTAAATTTTTGGATTATGTGGTTTGACATTTGTGGATGGCCATTCGAAAACACTCAAAACATATATAGCACTTATAAAATCAATAACTGTACCACTGAGAAAGGCAAAAAAGGAGAAAATACAAGTCTTTTCTGTTTGCTTGCGTACATATTTTAAGATGTGGGTTTTTTCTTTTCCTTTTTTATGCTGTAGTTTTCATATGACTATCCACTTGTATTGAGAAAAAAAACCCTGAGATATCCGAACTGCGCTTGAGTTTAGGGCAGCTATTTCCGGATCATTCCTCTTATGCGACAGCTCTTCTCTAGTGTCCATTACCAGGCACAGAGGGTAAAAAAAGAGAGGAAGATAGCAAAGCGGATGACAAAGGCATAAGATGGTGGGAAAGAGAGGCGCAGAAAATGCAAACACTGACCACAAATCTTCAGGGGAGCCTCAAGCTCCAGCAGGATGGGCTGGCTGAGGAAGATCTCCCTGGATTTGATGCAGAGGCCCCGAACCTCTGCTTCGGTCATCTGGACTATCTTTCCTGGACGGCATCCTCGCACTGGACAGGAGAGAAAAAACAAAATAATCAATTGGTTCTAATTGAAAGAACAACCACAAACCTTTGAACCACCAGGCTCATCACAAAGCGGTCATGATGGAACCACATCAGCAAGAAAAAAAACAATATTTCTATGACAACACACTGCTAAACTGTAGCTATAATGTGGAATGGTACTTAGGGCACAGAATACACAAGATAGACTGCACTTAGTTATCACATATTTCAGCTTTGGGCATGTTTCTTCAAATGCAGTGCTTTAAATGTAAATGTTTTCCTCCAGTGTGGGTTGTGTATTAACCAACCATTTAGCTTTAGCCTTATTAAAGCTAAACGCCCAATAAACAGTCTAACAAAGGGTTGCTGTGTCGAGAGAAGTAAGCAAGTCTTAGTCTGAACGCAAAGTTTTTTTAAATCGTTATTTTCTCCCTTATCTTTTTTCGTTCATTCCAAAGGGAAAGGCAATTTATAAAATTGCCAAACTTCGAGCCATTTAAGATGGACAAATTATTATTTTGGTTGGGAACGCATTCGTATTATTCATGAAAGGTTAATAAAATGATAACATTTCTTTCCTAATACACGATGGATCTGACTGACAAAAATATCTGTGAGCTCCACTATCGTTGGTACTTTTCATCTATTCTTCCATTTATCTCATCCTCGATCTAGTTAATTTCCAAGTGACATGCATTGCATGAAGCATGAAATTGCAGCAGTAGAGCTCTTTACTGTTCCTCATCAGAGCAGAGAGAGTTGAGCCTGAATGCTGAGCCTGCTCAGCTTTAACAATGAACCTTTGCACCATTTCCACTGGCACTCTGCAGACTGCCACTTTTAAAGAGATTACATTCTTAAGAAACCTGAGGGGCACAGCTGAAATGAAGGACTTATTCTGATTTGAAGCCATCAGGAACTAAAGAGCTGTTTTAGTTTGACAACACCGGTTTGACTGATGCCATATCCTGCAGTTCTGTAGATAATAAGTCCTATCCATTGTCTTTTTCTTAAGATGTCCCTTAAGTCCTGCAGAATGTAAATAAAAAGGTTGTTACTGTTCAAGACCTTTCCAGGATCATTTACGAACCCTTGTGCATCGTATTACTCAGAACTCTGGCTGAGCATTGGGAAGTATCTTAAAACAAAATTCAGTCAATGAGATAAAAGCATCAAAACAGATCAGTCATTTGTAACCACAATAAACCCAACAAAGCTGTGATGGAAAATGTAATAAATCCTATCAAAGCATACTCAGGCCTGGTAAATAAAAAGTTGTGTAAAATGTTACTTCTGTCATTACTACTGTTCTGCCATCATTAAATAGCAACACTCTCTTATCCTAAGGGATATCCTGTTAAATAAGTGTAGGAGCCTCATATAATGATCAAATGAAGTTGGTGTCACAGAATGAAGTTGCTGATGCACAATTTGATTAAAAAAAGAGAGAATATAGGTGATATTTCTTTTTTACTTCTAGCAAAAAAAAAGGTCTGTTTTAAAGTATGGAAAAAGAAAAGAAAAAACAGAGCGTCACTTCATTCCAACATTGTGTCCAAATCTGCAATTAAGTATGCCAAGGACAGCCGGATTTGCCTTACTGCCTCAGAATATCTCATGGGGGCCCCAAAAGAAAAAAGAAAAAAGAAAAAAGAAAAGCTCTCTCTTTCTGGGTAGCTGTCAGACTGCCAACATAAAGACACATTTACACCACCCTCTTTCTGCTTTTCTTCCACTTGATCCTTAAGCATAAACAAAGATCCAACACATGAGAGCTGAATCTGACAGGGTCAGAAAACTACAACAACATTTATGCTGCAGCATGTAGAGGTCAAACAGCCAATCATTTCCTTGGGATTCATATGTCGTTTTAGAATATCAAAACACATATCAAAACACAAATGCTGGCCATTTGTTCGTCTGTACTTTCCGCCAGGAGGACTGGAGGGAACAGGAGAGCCTCACTGCATCACTGATTTACATTAACCTGCCCACTAATGTCGAAGACACCTACCAGCCGAATGGAAGGCAAAAAGACACACTCTGAAATGCTTTATTGAATCTATCAGGACACCCAATACCAACAGAAAAGGCTAAACTATTTATCAGCGTTCATGTTACGTCTTTTCCCCCCAAAATTAGTTTTATCTGTCAATATTTTCAGCTCTCGACATTATTCAGGTCAACATTAAAAACTGAACTGTAATTTCTTTTAGAATAGGCTGCTGACAACTCTCCTTCATGCCTTTTTTATGCTCAAACCAATAATCTCAAATCGACTATTTCCGTTATAAATAATGTCACGTTCAATGGGAAAGACGCCCTTGCCCCTCCTAAATACAAGACGTTCGGCAAATAAGTGAGCTGCATTTACGAACTGTAATTTCGCGAGCAGGTAATTGCGGACATGTTCAGGGAAAAGCCACCTTATGATAGGTAAGCGATCTACGATAAACGGAGCTACGTGACACATGTAGGCGTTCACTGCCGACACTGTTTATAAACACGGCAGGCAGCTAACGGTAAGGCTAGCCACTGCTAGCTGCGCATATTCCGTTACCATTATTGGCCGTGTTTACTAAGAGTCTGGCCCTTTCTGGTGTCGCCAAGGTAGCAGAAAACTGAATTTAATATCCAAATGAAAGAGCCCCCAAACTCTCCTTCTTGTTAGCATACAATTCTTTACCTTCCAGAAGCCGAGAGATGAGGCTATCCACGTTCAATTCACCTTCCGCCATTTTTTACACTGGTGCTGTGGAATCCACCACATCTATTCCTATCATTGACACCAGGGGACGCTATAGAGAGAAAGACCTAAATGCACGACATGAAAAGTAACACAAAAATTCAGTTTTACAACCTATTATTCGACTGTGTAAACATAAAAATTATACTCTGAACAGAAAAAAACAGAAAAAAATACTCTGTCTGATTACCTGGTGTTCTAAATACCACAAACATGTGTATGAATTTTGATCATCATTTGAAAACAGTTTGTGTATATACGATTGTGGAAATAGAACAGACATATGCTCATATTTTCATGTGTTTATTTGCACAAATAACTGCCTGAAATGTGATTAAAAAAAAAAAGAAAATTAAGGAAAAGTAAAAAAAAAGAAAAGAAAAAAGAAAGGGGGAAATGTGCTTTAGACTCCTTTCAGTTTGTGACATTGTTTGCAGGAGCTGTCGGCTGCTTTCATCAATTTAACATGGTCATAAAACATCATCTTGTTAGTTGTTATCAGCATTATCACTATTAACATTGATAAATAATATGGCTGAAGGCAGGAGCCGTTTGTGTTATCTTTGTTATGGTGACATTCTGCATCCCAATAATTTCCTAGAGAAGCTGGTTATGTCATATTAGGTCTAGACCAAGGACTTACACAATATTACTGTAACCATTACTGCAAAGTATTTATTCATGACCATCCACTCCCATAAACCATTTTTAGTTTTTGGTAAGACCCAAATGTAGAATATTAAATTCAATATAGAAATGGGAAAAGAATGATTTCTCCAAACAACCTGCCCTATGTATCTACAACTGTTGTGTATTTTACTCTGTGATGACTTTTAACTCCATTATACTAAACTGAAATAAATTTACCTTAATTTAAATTGAATTGAATACACAAGTTGTTTTCCTTTCAGCAGGTCTTTGAACAGAAAATGTACTTATGTGTAGTCATCTGTGATGTTAACTATCATTATAGTCTTCGTTTTTAGACCAGCTACAACATTTAAACATGCCTTACCAATTAATGCCACATCTACATGGCTAAGGAAATAATTCCACACCAACATTTTTAACATTTTCAGCAGTTCACTTTTTGAGTTTTCATTCAGCTCTCTGTTATTTCAGAAAACAGTCTAATGTTTTCCATTTCCGTTGAATATACAGTAGTTAATTATTTGTAGCTTGTTGTATTAACTTTTTAGTCATAATTGACATCTGTACAATAATTTGCCTTATTATTTCCATAGTCTACACACAACTAAATGCCATGGATCATATTTGGTTGCTTTAGTGCTTCTTTTATGAATCCTCAGTTTGTCCACAGATTGTCCATAGCGCCATGAGCTGCACTTTAAAACATTGTGTCCTTTATCTCCTCGCCAGCTGTCATCTTTCTCTTGCTTCGTCTCGCTCTGCAGGAAAGGAGGAGCCAGGTGATGCCCCAGCCAATCACGATACCACCAACAGCCAGCAGAGCAGCGGCCCATGCTGGCACACTGCCTGAGCAGTCTGAGGTGAAAGGCTGGGCTGTGCTCTGTGTTGTGGGTGCTGTGGTTGTGGCCACACTAGGGAAACTGTTCATCTTAGTGAAGATGTAAGGATGCTCCTGAAACACACAAAGGCCTAAAAGTGGGCCAACTGGACACATGGCAACCTGAATCTGCACAGCTAAATAAGCATCAGCATATGCGCAAGCTTTCTTACCTCAGTTGGGCACTTGATAGACTTCTGGTAATTTGTGAAATCGTTGTATGTCTGCTTTTTACCCACTGGCTCCAACTAGAGATGAAAAAGAAGTGGTCGGTATCTATGCTCAGTTCATAAAAATATGTAGTAATTTCAAAAGATGTCATCCCAAGCCCTTTACTAAGCCTTTTACTGTTTTCCTTGCCAGACGCACCATGTTATTCCACAGAGCAGCAGCCATGCCAGCATGTCCTCGTTCACTGAAGTGGAAACAGTCCTCAGAGAAGTAGGCATCATCAGGTCTGCCATCCTGGAGAAGGGCAAATACCATATTACTGTTTCTATGCGCTTTAAATAGTTATGCTTGTTTTGTTTCTTGAGAGAAAAATGAGGACATATGATGAGCATGAGTGGAGAGTGAGTGTGCACAGTCAGCTTACAGCATTTAAAGGAACAATGGTGTTTCTGAAAAAAGGCTGGACAACAACAGCAAAGTCCTCTCTGCCATCATAGCGCCCTCCGTACACCAGGTTTTCTGTCTCAATCTGGCAGGAGTAAATCCCGATGATATTAACTTCAAGCATACCAAAAACTCGTATATGGTATACGTTTTTGGTCTCACTATTTCTGTCCCCCAACCTGAAATTCTCGATTGATCCGTTTCATTTCAGCCAGCTCCGGTGAATCTTCTCCAGGCATCAGGAAGCAGGAGCAGACAAAACTGTGGATCAAAGATGGAAATGAACAGCTGATGTCTGGAAGGTAAAACATCGTATTGCTGTGACAAATTCTAAAACCCACAGAGACGTTGTTATTAGGGAGGTTTCAAAATTGAAGGAAAAAAACGTTGCCAGCTTTCTTGGAAAGGGAACTAGAATTTACACAAAAGTAACAGTGGAATGAATTGAATTTAACGCATTTATAAACAGAACATGTTTATTGATAAAGAGTAACCTCCAGTAGTCATTTGTAAGATTGACTCAACATAAACTACTGATAAAATAAGACTCTCTCATCAGTGGGCTGGGTACATTATCAGCTTTATCTATAAACATACTCTTGAAGCAGGTTGCACCCGAGACTGTCCCTTTTGACTCTGCGAAGGCCTTCAATTTCCAGGATCTCCAAGACATTGACAATTATTCTAGGAACCTACAGCCAGAAAAGACATAAGACGTTATCTTGCTGACTTTCCGTGAAAAAACAGCTACATTACAACTGATGCTTTATGTGAGTAAAAACTTTAATTCAGTAAAAAGTAAAGGACCCCAACAACAAAACCTCAAAGACGTTTTGATATCTCTTGAGATTTTACAGCATATGAGAAAATATGTTCTCACCTCTTTGTACAGAAGGTCTAAGCTTGTCATGAGATGATTGCTGTAGTTCTGAGGTGAAAAAGTGGCCTGGAGTTTTGAGAAATAGAAATGTGTTAATTCATAAATGACTCCCGCTTTTACCCCTCACCCCTATTTAACAAAAGAAAACAAGCATAGTAAAGTTCCCAACGCTGAGGCTCATAACATATCGACAAGAAGAGCCATGCAGTGGTTAATGGCTCCCAAGCCACAACCAACTGCCTCAGAGTTCACCTTACATTTATGTTGCTCTTTGGTATTCTATTCTTCATTCAAAAAATGACACTTAAAAGACAAACCATTCTGTTGGAGCGTGAGAAGGGAGAAGGAAAAACATGGAGCCAAAGATAGAGGAGGTGGGGCAGGACAAGATCAGAATGAGGAGATTCTGGTTTGACTTCTGTGTTGTTCATGTCTTTCAGAGAACAAGGCCAGGCACTGTGCAATCTTTATTTGTTTGATGCACGCAGAGGCTATGATGGACGAGGAAGGGGTGAGATCTGTTTTGGAGCAATAGATTGTATCAATTGAAAAGAAACTGTCTGCTCTCATCTCACTCTGACACAATGAACCTATTACGGGAAGACTCTTCACAAAGCTTCATTATTCCGCTCCAGAGCTTCGAGCCATTTGTGAACTGATACAAGGAGACAGCTCCACACAGGGCATCACACAACACCCTGGGATGTTTAGGCACTCGGCTTTTGCGGGATATTCATTTACTCAGAAGAAGAGGGGTGCCTTAAAAATACCCATCACCCATTGCACCAGCCCGTGTCTCATGTGATGACCTTTTACAGCAGCTCACCCGGTCATTGCAGTTCTGACACAGGTCATTGCCTCCGATGAAGAGGGTCACAAGCTTCCAGTCATTCTGAAAATCCACTGTCTAGTTTCACCGATTTGGTGGCGGAGGAATCGGAGAGATGGACATGTGGACAAAAGATCACAATGAAATACATTTCTGGCATGTAAACAATCAGGAACCAAATTGATTGAAAATTTAAACTCACAGAATTATTTTTCATGGCATCAATAAGACTGCGGGTCTGATCTGGGATCCCCCTGTACATAATAATAAAGTGTCATGAATACTTTAAATCAAAAATCATTTTGATGACGACATCAGTTTCTTGAACTCACCATGCTTTTGCTCCGGACACAGCCATGTTAAAGCCAGTCTGCTTTTTTCCTAGCCCCTTTGACATTCCTTTAAGGTGAGGATTGTACTTTTTGAGAATATCTAGAAAGAAAAATAAAAATGCAAGTGATGTTGAAGGCTGAGCAAAAGCTTTACTAAGATCATCTCTGCCATCTTCTGGTGACAATGTATTTTACACTTCAGCGCTGGAATTTGATGCTTACTAGGTAGAGTTGTGACCCTCTCAAGATTGTCATCGCCTCCAATGCTAATTTTTGGAAGACAGACAGTAAATGAGTGAAGTGTTGGCAAAATAACACAAATCCCTTTGCGCAATTTGTGTGCAGTATCTCACCTCCATGAAACCCCTCGGTACTCGGTCCTTAGCTCCAGCAGATTTTTTGCCCTTGCTCCAAAGGCGGCCTTCAGCACAGATTTAAAGTTTGTTATGTTCCATAATTCATCCACTGCTGCATGCAAAGTTATGTTCTCTTAATTTGTATGTGAACTGGTTTATGGGGAACGATATCTCTATGCACTTTCCAGAATTGGCAACTTTAGTCGCTACCCAAAAGATAAGAAATGAGAAGGAAGACCTTGCACAAATCATGTGCAGTTTTAATAGTGCTGACTAAGTTTGTAGAAACTGCATCTGTCATTATCATCTATTCAGAAGGTTGATGACAGCAATGTGTCTTTTTATAGGCCACTAAGAAAGAAAGAAACATTTGAAGAGAAAGCCCCTGCTCTGCACCATGGCAACTCTCTTATTATTCTCTTTCTCTTGTTGTACTACTGCCAAAGTATATTGAGGATCTACATCATTCAGTAAGTCACTAGCTCAGAAAAACCTACCGTCAAAGAGTCTCCAAGAGCACCCACAACCTTGATGTCTGCTGGCCGTACTCTGTGAGCTGACACAAGGCTGCTTTGAGCATAATTTACTTTGACCACTAGCATTTCTCTAAGGTTGATTGTCACACTCTTTATGGATGCTTACCTGACGTGGGCACAGAATTGGATGGAGCTGTGTTAACACAGGAGAATTCACTACCCCAGTTCTACAGAATGACAAAGATATATACTTATATAATTATATAATCATGATCTCCTTACAACATGCAGAAATAATCACTGTTGGTATTCAACATGTGGGAAATATAACCTACTGTAACTGGAGCTGGAGTGGGCGGAGGGCCTGGAAAGATGTAGTCGCTATTGGCTGCTGTTTTGAAGAATGGGTTCATCTTTTAAGAAAGTAATCAAATTAATATACACACAAGATAAAGACCACTCATGATATATCATTTCTGGTCAGCCGTTACCTCTGAGGGACACTTCAGATCAATGCCAGCTGTGAAGTCTTGTGTGAAGGTTTTGTTCCCAACTGGCTCCAACTATGATAAGGCGAAGGTCAGTTATTTACGACCATAATGAGGAAAAAGGTCAGCATGTAGAGGCAAAACTACTCCCAACTCGAGCAAAAACTACCATGTTGTTCCAAAGGGCTCGAGCCATGAGTGTGTGAGCTTTCTGGCTGAGGTGAAAGCAGTCAGGTGAGAAGTACGAGCGATCCGGTTTGCCATCCTTCATGAAAAAAAGAAAGATGACAGGACATACATTGAAAAATAGCTAATTGGCTAACTGGAAAAGGTAAGTTCTTTACATGTAAAAGTCCTTACTTCTGAAACAGGAAGGAAAACTTCCCTGAAGAAGGGCTGAAGCACCACTGTGAAGTTATCATGTGTGTCATACCACCCAGAATCAATCAGCTCTCTCATGGCTCGCTAAAAGGAAAAACACCAAGAGCAAAATTAGGAATAATAATTAAAAAAACGAGTAAGAAGTACTTTATTTTACAGAGATCTTTAGCTGTTTTGTTTTGTTCACACAGAAAGGTCCTGGTCCCCCCAGGAACTTGAATCCAAAACCCTCTTAATGTGAGGCGGTGGTGCTAACCACCACACCACCATGCTGCCCACTCATTAAAAACCTTTTATATATATTGCTACTTAATGTGCTGAAGTCTTCAACACATTTCTGAGGACTGTCCTTTCATAAGTCTGTGCCTACCTGATACGCTCTGTTGAAGTCACTGAGTCTTTGGAGTTCAACTGTTCCTTCTTGGGCCTTCAGCACGCAGGGACAAACTAAGCTGAAACAGAAAACCGAAATATTACAAAGGATGCAGGACTAGATTTTTTTCTAAGCAAACTATTGTACATAACCAAAAAATACTGACTTCACAAACCAGGTGGGACACCCTAAAGATTTGTCTTTATGTAATTCACGCAGAGGTATGATATTTAAAAGCTCAATCAGATTGACAATGGCTCGAGGAACCTGGAAGACACACAGCAATTTGGAGGCTTTATTTAACATGGGTGATAATGTAGACACAATCCAAAAAAACAACCAAACAGCAAAGTTGTTTGCTTGTTTTACAAGCAAACAATAAGACTGACACATACTTCTCTGTGGAGTATATCCAGAGCTTGTTTGATTCGATTGACCACGTTCCTGGGTGAGAAGAGGACCTATAGAGTAAATGTTTTTCAGTAAACAGCTGACAAGCTATTCAACACGAAATAACTTTGTTTCCAAAACTTTATTTCAATATTCCTCAGAATGAAAACTGGGGAAAAAATCTAACATTTAGTGGATGATCGTATAGCTTTTAACATGCAAACCATATTAAAAAGAAGATTGGGGAAAAAAAGCTGATAACCATACAACGAATAGGTAAAACTGAAGTAGGTGAAATAAGCCGAAATATGTGATATGTGGATTGGAAATAAAAAGAACTCACGCTGTCCAGGCAGAAGTCACATATGTCATTGCCACCGATAAACACCGTGATCAATTTCCAGTCGCTTTGGAAGTCAATATTCTGAGGGAGAGATGGTGTTAGTTTACTGCTGATAAATGTGAAAAGAAGATGAGCCATTGCCGATACCATAACATGAAAATATGTGTTTTATTTCTGCCTTACCGAGTCATTTTTCATTTTGTCCACTAGAGCGCGGACCTGCCCCACCAAGTCACTGTCAAAAAGATTTGCAGAGTTAGATACGCTCGATTTCTGTGTGGTACTTAATTTAAATGGAGTAATATTAAAAAGCGAGCAGGACTGACCCACTCTTGGCTCCTGCCACAGCCTGATTCAGATAGGCTCCTGGACTGTCCTCTCCACCCACTCCCTTGGAGTATCCAACCAGGGAGGGGTTAAACTCCCTCAGGATGTCTACAGTCATTGGCATGGTCAGAAAACTACAACAGGCATTTAATTGAACACTTCTGATTGCTTTTTGTATTACGCTTGATGTAGTTTATGTTGGTAAAGATCACCTGACAATAATTTGAGATACTGGCTTTATTTATTAATAAATTGTGGAAGTCATCTGATGTTTAATGATTTAAAAAGAGCAACTAAAGACAGTTAAAGCCTATCTTTAAAAATAAAATTCAACTGACCTTGAAAAATCTAAATAAACAGCAGGAATACACTCAACTCAGGTGATACACATCACATGTTAAATCATAAGGTAGAAACCCTCCCCTTTCTATTGAAAATAAAGTTTAAAGATAACGTCAAATTCATAACAAGTGTAGATATTATAAAAAGCAACAGGGGCTAGAGTTTATCTTTTTATCTAACTGATCATGGCTGATATGCGAGGCAGGCGTGGTGGACTGTAAACTGTCTATTTTTGCTAAGAACAGTCTGTAATGCAGATCTTATCAGTGTTTTGATGCCAGTGACGATATCTTATTTGATTAACTTCACAGGACGGAAGCATCTGTACGTAACTAGAAAAAGAAGAAAGGACCAAAGGCAAACATACTTGGCAGAGTGGTCACAGTTGTTATGTTTTCATCACCACCAATGCTGAAAAGAAAAGAAAAGAAAAGAAAAAGACATTTGGTTTTAGTTTGCTGCTAATGCAGCACAGAAAAAGAAAAAGAGTGATTTCAAAGCGAGCCACCTACCTCCAAGACAAGCCTCTGTACTGATTCGCCACTAATAGAAGGTTGTCTGCCTTTGCGCCCACACCATTTGCTGCCTGCAGAAACAACAGAGAGATATTACTACTAAAAACAATAGAGGTACTGATATAATTGAAAACCTCTTAAGGTAAAACAGCTGAAAATGCAACAAGGTCTTTCTTTTTTCAGAATGAATCTTTGGAAATTTAGCATCCTGTGTACATGTTTAAACGTGTGTTTGAGTATGAGCCACGCACACACCTTTACCTATTTCATCATTTTGTAACATTGACAGACTTCTTCTTGTGTAAACATGACCCGTAAGAAAAGTTTCTTTTGATGGAAAATAAAGCTTACCATCATCAGAAAAAGGGAAGAGAAGGGAAGCACTCACTGTTAGAGAGTCACCTACAGCACCGACCACCTTAATATCTCCAGGTCTGACCTCATGAACTGCAGAGTTAAATAACATTATGTTTAAGAATTGTTAAATTGAACTATATTTCCCCCAAAAGTAATCTTTTTTACCTGATGTTGGTATGATAGGAGAGGGGCTGCGGTTTGTGCAGGGGACCTCAGTACCCATAATCTGAAAACAAACATTGTACTCCGATATTGCAAACAGTAAATTAAGTGAATTTACAATCTTAAACTGAACTTGTCAAGGAAGAGGTCTCACTGGATTTGTTATGCCAGAAGCTTTGAGCTCTACATCAGCAGGGGAGTTTATCTGTGTTCGAAGAAAGGGCTGCTCCTGGAAGGTTTGAAAAGTCAGATTTTATAATCCGAATAGCTTTAAAGTCATCTAATCTGCTGGGGAATTACTTGAGTCGGCCAGCCTCACCTTTGTGGGACAGGGAATAGTGATCAGGCCTCTGTCTGGGGTCTCTGCGTAGCCTGCTGATGGCTGAAGCTGGAAGAGGAATCTTATTATTAGTTACGTTTTTCGGGCAAAGAGGATTCCATCAGTGCAGTTCACCACTGTGTGGCAGTAGAGATTTGTGCAGTTTCCCTTCCCAGGAACACACAGTGAACAGTGTTTTGAAAAGTAATTTTAAGTTTTATGTCATGAGGTTAATCTTTACATCTCTTATCTAATCACAGGTTGATCTCACTTTTGATTGGAGTAATCATGATGACTCTTTCTGGCCCCATTTTATAACTAGGATCGTCAGGACACACTGGTCACACAGTATTCTGCTTTGTCATTGAACCCACTGAAAATACACACACTCACATTTACAGCCCTTTGATAAGCTATATGTCACTTTGATCTATCAGAGCTTACCAGATTTGTCCATAGCTGAATAGCTAAATCATTAAGCACATCTTCATCGCTTTCCTTTAAATACAGAAACAATGCATGTAAGTTACACATTAACATCTACTACATCACTTATTGTTTACTGGCTTTATTGCTTCCAGTTATTAGGAACAGAAAGTAAGCTTGGATCTCCTTACCGAGTCAGATTTCAGCTCCAGGATAATTGGGGACGACTGCAAGACCACAGTGAAGTCTCCATTTTTACTGTGCCATGTTGGATTTTTCAAAACATGACTCACAGAGTCCTGAAAGCAAATCAAAAGCAAAATTGTCAAAGTAGATGTGAAAAAAAGAACTAGATTTAAATTAATGTGTTTTAGGGTCAGCCAAATCGAGCAAAACTTCACCTGTAGCTCTTTGAGATGAGTCGCTTTTAGTAGTCTCTGGTTTATTACTTCTTTTCTCATACATTGACATCTGCTACTGATTTAAAAAAAGCATGAAATGTTTAACAGGTTACTATGACTGACCAATCAACAAATATGCAGTGAGTTACATAAGGTACTCATTAGCTATGTTTGGTAGATATTCTAATGAAGCACTCACTCATCTTTTTGGTTATTTCCACTCCAGACCACCACATGAACTAAAGTGCGATGCAGCTGTGAATACGCACATCAACACATTATTGTAATTAAAATGTTACAATCCAGTGCCATCATTGTAAAACATTTTATTGTATTAACAGTACTTTTTCCTGCAGAATCTTCAGAGCTGCTTCCACTTCCAGCACTGAAGTTTTGATGTCTGCAGCAATCTAAGGGACAAAGACACCGTGACGCTGGCTCAGAAATCCCAACACACTAAAGATCTAAAGATTAAGACATTCATACTTTTTAAGGATATGAATAATAAATCTTACATGTGGGGAACAGGGACACATTAAATCTGCCTGGAGAAACAACAGAACCATCTTCCAGTCGGTGACCTGCAGGAACATGCGGTCAGTGCACTCGCAGTATGTTATCATTCAGCTATCATTCATCTTAACCATGAAAATTAGTAGTTGTCTATAAAATAATACATTTAAGATAGTAATAATGAAAGGTTAGGAAAATATAGCATACTTGATTTGAAAGGTAGACAGAAAGGCCATTAGCTTCCTCTAACAAGCTCCTGAAACACATTAATTCAGATGTGAAGGATGCTGGAATTTATTATGCAGCTTATATAGTGGACATACGTGTGTGTGTGTGTGTGTGTGTGTGTTACCTGGTCTGCAATGAGGTCTGATCCACATGCTGAGTAATAACCTCAGGGTTAAACATGGACAGCAACTCTGTTCAGACATGGATTCCTTATTAAATACATTACATGTATGATCCTTCAAAAAACATGCAAACATGTTGCAGATTATGTCCAATATAAGATAAACGCTTTGTTAAAACAGAGCCTGCTCTAGGCAGCTTTATCCGAGTCATCAAGAATGCATATTGTAATAGAATGAAGGTCAGCGCGTCGTGTTTATGACCAATATCTTATCCTTACTGATAAATCAACAAAACGGCCTTCTTTATTGGTTTGATAGCTTTTCTTTAAAGTGTGTTCTAATCTGAAAATTCCTGAGATACGGTCTGACCCCCAGCTGAACTCTTTTTAAATACCGTGCTTTCAGATTCTTAATCACAGCGAGACCCTAAAAGGATAAAGATAGTCTGCACTCAAATTAGTTTCCTTATTCGGAATTAAATCCGTTATTAAAAGACTGAGTGATTACCTGAGAGAAAATCATTAGAAAACCCAATAAAGAATTGATTGAACATAAGATGAAAATCTGATCTGAGCAGCAATTTCTGGAGGCACTCTTTGGCCTTTGCCAACAAATGGTGGCCTGACTGAACAATCTGTGTGTGGTTTTAAGGTGGATAGGAAGCTGTCAAATTAGACTTTTCCACACTGAGACCAGAAAGATAAAGGTTTTCAAAGGGGTTTGACCAGACAACTTTAATGCACTGTGTCAGTTTAGATAAGTCTTCTCTGAATTGTTAATTACAGTCTCAGTAGCTGTGATTATAACATGGGAAAACTAGAAGAATTTGATGCCAAAGATCAGAGATCTTCCAGGATAAAGATAAAAAATAAAATAGATAGCTGATCAAGCTTCTTCAAGAGTTCTTAGTTATTTCAAATCAATTTGTATAAGATGTAAAATGATATGTATGTATACATCAGGTAAAAGCTGATATAGCTAACACTAAACAATATATGTTGTGGATCAAAGCTTACCTGCAAGTCTGCTGACAACTCTGGATGCTTCATCCCTGATAATGACAAGAATCACTCAGCAAGAAACTCAACAGTTACTTTAATTAGCATTTACTGCACATCCAATCCTGTAAGCAGTGTATATGTGTTCCCAGTTGAATCATTTGTGTGTGTTTGTCAACTGTGTACCTGTGGGAGCGAGGCATTCCCAGCGTGTAAAGAGCTGTGATGTCAGCAGGTGTGAGGGTATGAACTGATGGTGATAAAACAAGCACATCAGTCAGGATACATCTTTAGACAAAACTGATCCACATCCAAAATAAACCAAATCTCCATATTAGCAACTGTTCAATGGGCCCTTTAGTTATAATTGCCAAGCGTATTACCCGACGAGCTAGAGGAGCCAGGTAGTGGTGAGCAGAGGATTGACATGTAGCCTCCTGCCTAAAGTATATAGGCAAGATTGCCATTGACAAAGCACATTACAAAGAAATATATTAATATATAAAACGGTCTGTGTGTTTTTGATGTATCATAACTGACGTACAGTACCTTCTGAGATGCATCTGTTGCAACCCCATTTTCTTGGAAATAGGCTCCCTCATTGTCTGCATGAGACAAAAAGCAAAACAATGACGTTGTGCTGAGGAAGTCTCAGTTCCAAAGTTGTCATTAAAAAAGTTGTAAAACTTAGTAGGACAGAAAAAAACATAATTTTTGAAATTTCCGTAACAAATTTAGGCAGTGAATTCAGTATAACTTTATTTTTTGCATGTTGATTGCGTCATTGGTACACTAAACGTAGCTACAAATGTTATGTGTAGTTTTCTTTTACTGTTGTGAAGAAAAGTTCTTGGATCCTAGGCATCTTTATCTAACCAAAAAAAGACACCATAAACTAACACTAAAATGACAATGTGTTAAAATGCTGAATAGTTTATAACACTGGTGAAACTTTAAACTTGATGCACAAATACAATATGCTGCTACTGTATAAGTGAATGTGTAACTTTTTTCCCACTAAGGCAAAAAGTCCATAAACACTAGGTTGCGTTAGAAAACCGTGTGAACATATCAGTACCAAAACCTTGAAAAGGAAAGATTGCTATTTAGTTAGCGGTTCTGATCTCATGACATATCACTGCTGTTTGGCAGCTAGAGCTCCAACGCATCCAACATTTGTAGAACAACTTACAAATACCACCTTGTTGTTTATTTACCTGTAAACACAGCAGAGGATCCACTGAGGATGACCAGAATCAAGACTGCAGATCTACTCATGATGCACCGGGGTACAGAGTGTTGTCCACACTGTGAGCGTTTAGTCGTTGCCTCCACTTTGCTTTACTACTCAACCTCAAAGGAAGAAGGACTGAAACCCTTCACTCTCTATAAAACAAACCTGTGAAAGGGGCGGAGAAGACCAAGAGTCCCAAGGGGGCAAAGTTTTACCTAGAAAGAGGTAAACTTCTCATGTGAAAACATGTGTCATAGCAATCTCTTCTATCTGTTATTTCATTTTGTGGACTGTTGTCATGTAATTTCTCATCTTCCCATTCTACCTGAAGATAAATAAACTGTATTAGTCTATTTCTTTTTATCCTTTCCAAATCTCTCTTCTTCACAGTTGTAATTTTCTAGTAATTAAACGACTATAATTATATTAACATGACACAGTATGCAGTTGGTGAGATGTTAGGCAACATTTATGACTTCTGTGAATAACCTGATTTATTTGATGGGTGAAAGTCACACCATCCTTTATCAACAGCTCAAGAGTTACACAAGGCAGGTTTCCCGTATCGAGGTATAGCATTGATAATGTTTGCAAAATCGGGCAAACTAAAGGGGACACATTCAACCTCAAACAGAGCTGTGGTGTTTCTGTGGATAGATAATGATTATTACATTTACATCCAGATGTTGCATATATCCCACATGAAATGTAAAATTGTACAAGAACATTTATTTAAAGATTTTGAAATCTTGTCTTCTGCTGGTGTTTTGAGACAGGATTACATTGCCAAATTCCAAATTGACTGACTTTGGCTTGTCTGAACCACTTTGCAGATGTCTGCTCCTGACAATCAACGCAGAGTAGACTATATATTTTAGTTGAGTAGAACCAGGGTGCATGGTGTGCTTTCATCTGAATATCTGGAGTGTGCATTTCTGTACGAGGACTGAGAATTCGATGGGATGTGCGCTTGGAGATCTTTGAGGAAAATCAGGGGAAAACAACTCTCTCCTCTGGAACACAAACCTCCCCATGGTGCGTTCAATGTCCCACCCATGGCTGCATCTCCTGCTTTCGAACGGCCGAATTCATGCGGTCAAGCTGCGGGAAAGGCTTGTGACCCCCTCTGCCGGCGTAAAAAAAACCGGAGCAAGCACGAGAATCTGCAGCGGAGGAGGCTACGTCATAACCGGATGTTGATATTAGCATTAAAGCGCAGCTCAGGAGGAACAGCTGAAAAAGAAAAACAAAGCCACGACGACCACGGCAAGACGACCGTTCAGAGTGTGTTCTGAATAACGGTGACGCCATAGTTGTACGAGTAACTGTGTTTTTCTTAAAACAACCGAAGAAGGTAGGAGGGCATTCACGCGAATTTACGCCTAAACACGGGTTTTTTGTTGTTGTTTCTCCGAGCCTGTTGCCGTTGTTAGCTGAGCAGCTAGCCTGAGTTTCCGCCTGACTGAAGGCTTCATTTGACTTTACGGTTACAAGGTCTCGAGTTAAAGATGAGTCCAGACGGGGTGTTTCTTTATGTCAGAATGGACATTGTTGACATTGTTCGAATAGTATACTTTTCTCACTAGTATTTCCCAACGTGGCACTCATAATGAGCCATTTAAAGCCCAGATGCCATCTACAGTCAGCAGCATTCATAACAAGCTAGTCAGGTTCCTGATGAAGTCCCAGTGGAAACAGGGAGGGGCTTTGGCAAGCACAGCTAATAAGACCCCCCCCTTTTCTAAGAAAGAAACCCATCTGATTTACTGCTACTGTAACAGTGGTGTTAGATGTAGGGCAAAGTAAAGCTCATAACGCAGTAAAAAACAAAACAAAGTTATGAATAGATTGTTTTTAATAAGCAATCTCCCCTTTAGCAAAGCGACTGTTTCCCCCCCCCCCCATTACATTTGCTTTTGCTTATCTGATGTTTTTGATAGAATCGTTAATCACATTAATCAGATTGATTGTTTTCCCCTTTTTTTCAGGAAGGGTTTCCAGTTCCTTGAGCAATGGGGCGTATCTTCCTTGACCACATCGGCGGAACCCGCCTCTTCTCTTGTGCCAACTGTGACACAATCCTGACGAATAGATCTGAGCTCATCTCCACGCGATTCACCGGGGCTACGGGCAGAGCTTTCCTCTTCAATAAGGTATGCCGAAGCCTGCGGGGGCCGGGCGCTCCTAACTGCTTTTTAATACACGTCCAGCATCTCATTTCCTATTTCGCAAAGCCTATCAATCAAGCACCTGGCTCCACCCCACAGGTGGTGAACCTCCAGTACAGCGAGGTCCAGGACAGGGTGATGCTGACCGGCCGGCACATGGTGAGGGACGTCAGCTGCAAGAACTGCAACAGTAAGCTGGGCTGGATCTATGAGTTCGCCACTGAGGACAGCCAGCGGTACAAAGAGGGACGTGTCATCCTGGAGAGGGCTCTGGTGAGGGAGAGCGAGGGCTTCGAGGAGCATGTCCCCTCGGACAACTCATGAGCGCTGGACGTCGCCTCGCCCTCCTGCCCTCCTCCTCACGCCCCTTGCCTCTGCGCCGCACACCGCCACCCGCAGAATTAGCGGTCAGTGAAGCTTCGACTTCGACCCCACTCCTTCCCCCCCCCCCGTCTCTGGCATATGACCTTAAACCTCTGCTGATTGGAAGAATGGCGAGCTGGACCTATTCGCTGAATAGGCCTCCTGAATACAGCCCTAAATTCACATGTCGCCGGGCAGTCCCCCACCACAGCTGGGAACATTGTCAGGGAGCGGTACCCTCACTCGAGTGTGAGCACAGTCATGGTAATTAGGCAAAAGCACGGTAGGACACAGATCACTCATATTTAATATTTTGGCCTCACTGTTTTATCCACTCAGATAAGTGGACGACTGAGTTTGATCTCAGTCCGTACAATGGCAGGTCAGCCAGCCCCCTCGACTCTGTTAGTGAACCAACTGTCACTCTGCATATATTTTATTGTCTTTGTGCTTCTGTGTTGTGAGCTGTGTCACAGTACGTCTCTGGTCAGCACTGAACAACACACAGAGATAGCTGTTAATTCTGTATCAGTTACAGACTCTTAGCTTGTTGTTTAATGGATGTATAGTTTAGTGGAGTTTCAAATCTTTTCTCATGTCTTTGATACCATGAAGACCGCACAGACTGATGTCATTTTTAAGTATTCATTGTTGTGCATGACGGTGATGAACCTGTTTCCTTTCTTTATCTTGCTCACATGGTGTGCATGCATTTTTATTGAGGAATTTTCTTTTTTTAAATGCACGCAAAGTGGTTTCATGTTCGTCTGTTATTATCCCAAATGTGTGACATCCCATACGGAAAACAGTTGTGCAGTTCAATTCAGCACACAGTGTTATCATTTATTCCACATCTGATTGTGCTGCGTGAAGAACAACATGCTCCTTTAGTGACCTATTGGAAGCTGACCTCCTTTAGCCAAGGGTCTGCCCTGGGGCAGAGGCTGAATGAGCGTAAAACATGGTGGAGGGACTCTGCCTGATGACTAAAGGACAGGATTATAAGAGAATGGACCATGTAAATAGTTAAAAATAACAAAGGAATGACTCAAACAGAAACAAGTTAAAAAAAAATCCCAGGTGTATGACCCTAATATGTAAATTTAGACACAGTTCAAAGCACATTGTCTGAAAGCGTTTAATGTTCAGCAAAGTGAGACACATTGTTCAGGTTAGATAGCTTGTTTTATTTTTAATTTTTTACACAAAGCCAGGTGAATTTTAATAGTATGAGTATTTAGAACAGAGCCTCATTTTTTATAATCAAATTAAAAGACAAAAAAAGTAGTGAGCTTAATTTAGGGCTTGTACCCCTTTCTTGTCCTGGGGTAACATTGGGTTATGGTTAGTTCAGAATCCCTCATGTCCAACTTTTTGTAAGGCAGTTCAAGTTGTCATTTCTACCAAATAAAAGATGAAAAGATACAAAAACATTGTTGCCATTCATGCTCCGAAGTCAGTGCAGTGTGTGTTTCCTGTCACTTTCTCACGTCTTTCATTCAGTATATGTTTTTATTTACTATATATTATACAGATTATTCTTTTGACTGATTTGTTGATCTTGAAAATGTCTTGGCGTCTTCTATGGCTATGGCAAGCTTTTCTCCAATGTGATTTCTAAATAAAGAAATGGTCTTGACGTTGACTGTCTACTATCTTCAGACTAATTTTTATTTTTTCCTCTTAAACTGAATTCCATTAAATGTCTGCACCTCTGCTTTTGTCAGCCAAAGTAAGCAATACAATTATTTGAGTAAAACTAGACCCTTCACCTGTGGGTGGCAGCAGAGTGCCGAGAATCAGGATTAAGATGTGATGCAGAATCTCTGCCTGGCTTTGACGTTAGCCTGCTTTGCAGTATTTGATAGGTTTCCCTGCAGCCTGAAAATAAGATTTGTTAATGCAAAATCCTTTCAGTCAATTAAGTTCACTTTGAGTAAAATATAAACCTCATGATGCACCGTGCTCATCTGCAAACTGAGGGACAAAAGCCAAACGCCGGCACTATGAATCATTCAAGAAATGGTTTGACTGCATTTGGTTTATAAATAGGAAATGACGACTCACCTCTAATCCCCCCCACTAATATTGCAGTGCTGCCGTAGCGTTATTTATAGCTCAGATGCTGCTGGAAGGCGTTTTTGCGGGTCTGTGTCCCAGAGTTGCCGCCAACAAATGTATTACTTTTCTGCATGAGCTGTTGGAGGTTACTGGCATGGAGCATCCAGATCCAAAACCTTTCTCACAAATACTGACTGGTGGTATTCAACACACAAACTTCTGTCATTGCACCTTTTTTTACAATAAACTGCAGTTCTTACCTCTTCCGGATATATGTGGCCCTTTTAGTCCAGGGAGACGAATCTTTCCACCTGGCTGAGAACATTTAAATGCCACACAAGACCTGAGGCAAGAAGGGAGCCGTTTCTTCAGAGAACTCGTAGCTAATTTATAATTCATAGTCATCTTTACTTTTGTCCCTACTTAACCTCAGGATTGTCTGCTGCCTTTATTGGAAAAGCCATCTGGCCAGATAAGGGGAATTACAGAGCCTTGTTGATCCTGTTAGTCTGTTTACAGCTGGAGAAACATGGTTCTAACCAACCAAAAACATTACTGTAGACCCTCAGATACCTAAATGTACCTTTGCACAGGGATGTGGACATGGAGATTCCCTTCCAATTACACAACAGTGCTCTGCTACTTAAAAGTTTAAAACAAGTTTTTAACAAACTCATTTACTCTCATATATGGTAGAAAAGCCTCGGTGGATCATCTGTCCACCCACCCAAAGTCTATCAAATAAAATTGGAGTTATATTCAGATGCTAAGGATAACCTGTGGGAGAGGGAAAAAACGAGGGAAGCATAATTTCGTCCCTAATTGGCTCATGATTCATCATCTCTTGGCAGCTATTTTAATTTACCCTCTCCCTCAGTCTTTCTTTGATTTGACAGGATCTCTTCGACACCACCCCCCTAAAGGAGATCCAGAATATAGAATTTCCATCCCTCTTCACACACACAAAGAAGTGACATCATTCTGTCACCAGGAGAAAATAGCATGCTTTCCATTGACATCATTCTACATCCCGTTGCCAGGAGACAAGGGAGTCAACATGAGTTACTATGGCGACTGCACTTCACCTTCAAAGCTTCTGACCTTTTTGGTTGACTATGGTTGGTGTGTGTGCAAAACAGGAGAGGCAACCCATGTTATTGGTGTTGTGTAATATGAGCATTCAAGGTCTTGTTGACTCATTCATTGCAATTTAGTGATTGTCACAGTACATTATAGATTAATGCACTGAGGCATTACACATCTATTTAGATCAGCTTGCAGCTGATATAAAAGGAAGCATTAATCATGACACTAAATATAGGAAATGATTTTGAGCAAAGGAACTTACACTAGACAAATTTCCTTCAAAGTTTGACTAGTCAATTAAGACAGGACAAGATCAAAATCAATGACTGGATGTTTTTATTAATGTGATACATATATATATATTTATATACATATATATATATTCATTTGTATATGTTATTGAGGAGCCTGACTTGCAAGTGTGTAACTATATTTACCTGAGGACAGTGGCTTTTAAGAGGTCCAGCACGAGCAAATAATAGTATAAAAATTGAGCAAATCAAAACACAAGTGAAAGACCAACACAGGGTTTCTGGCTGGTGCAGGAGCTTTAAATGCTTTCCAGAAAACAGTACCATGTTTGGTAAACTACTACATGCTGATAAAACTGCTAACACAGCTGCATCACAGTGACTGGAATCAACCCATTTACACTTAACCAACAGTAGGTCCAGAATTGCATAAACATAAAATAAAGACACTTTTGTTGTGTGAACTAATTTGCCTCAAAATCAGACTGAAGTAGTCAGCTACATCACTCACTGCACAGTGCTACAGAAACTGATCTAAACACACAATTCCTCCTTTTCTGCAGAAGAGACGGGGTCTGAAGTAGTGCTCAGAGAAAGAAACAAAGAGATTCAGTTGTAAAAAATGTGACTGAAGTCATGCTCTAAACTTTCATTTCTGTCCTTTTTTGGCACAATTTGATTAGGTGTCTCAGCTGTTCTCCCTTAATTGAATTTAGCAGGTGCTTCAGTGCCAGAGCTCCACGAGGGGACGCAGGCAGAGGTGGACATTACAGGGCTTTTTTGGATTAGGTCGACTTTAGGGCCAGTTTTCCACTCCAAGTCTGGTTCTCTGCACATTGAAGGCTAATGTTGCCCCAACAGGGTAGTCTTCCACCCTGCACCACCCACATCCTGCCTCTAACAAGTCATCCCTTCTTTCCAAGAAAGGGAGCAAAGCTCGTCTACTTTTAGAGCTATTCAGACGTGTGATCCTACCTAGATCTTTGATTTCACATTACTGCCAGGAGTGCCAGAGCAAAGCCACGGGCTGCTTTGCTGGTTATGTATAAAGCTATCCCTTCCTGAACTGAACACATCCAATCTGTTTGGTAACTTCTTTATGAATAAAAAAAAAAAATCTTTTCTGCTCCTATCAGCTTTGGTGTCTGTGTGCAAAATCTAAGCAAACTGAACAAACATGTCTGGTATGGTAATGAACACCACAGGCTGTCCTTATGGACTGATTCATCGTAAAAAATGTAATGTCATAACCAAAAAAGTAAACAATGATACACATACTACACACATATACCTGTATAGTCTGTAATTCATGGGAATTACACTGTTCCTTTTCTTTCCTTTAAAGAAACCACTTATTTGTAAGTGATAGATTCACATCCAGCAAACGGTGGCAATTTGAACATTGGTTAGAGTCAAGTCATTATACGTACAGGTGGTCTGTACTATGGCTCTGCTCCATTTAGGATAATAACAAAGGGCAACACAGCATACAATAAAACCAGTTTCTAAGATATGACGGGTTTACCAAAACACCAATATGTCCACATTGAGGTTCTGAACAACCAACCATGAACACAAACGACATAAAATGATAAAATGTACCAACACTAAGCTGAATGACTGTGATTGTTTACAGAGAAATATACAAAATGGAACATCGCATAGGATGAATTCCTTGAACCCAGCAAGGGAATGTGTAGTTTACATTCCTAATTTTCTTAGACAGAAATGTAAGCTTTCCATCGAAGCCATGCATTACATCAGGAGCTGCACTCTTTCTAAGGCGTGGAACCTTGGGTTCCTCATAGGGGTTTCCATTGCCCTCTGGTCTGAACCAGTCAAGTCAACTGATCTACCTCAGTGTCTATGCTGGTTGTGGGTGGAAAGATTTCACTGTTGAGTTAAAAGTGCTTTTTAAATGCTTACTGCATCTTTCCATCTAGCTCCTTTTTCGTCTCTCCCGTGTCAGAAGCCCTGGACTTCCAGTATCGGTGGCAAGCCAACTCCAGCAGCTCCAGCCCTCCGACCAGCTTTTGCTGGCCCATATATACGCCAACCATGACAAGGACATACAGCCTAAAAGGAGCCCAGAGCCATAGGCCGGTGAAACAGAACGCAATGAAGCTGCTCCAGTACAGCAGTGAGGCGGCTTTGATCAGAGCCACTCGAAGCTCTGACTTACAAGGTGGCACGCGTGCAACCCCGTCCCTGTCAAAGCCGCGGGGCTTGCCTGAGTAGAAGTCCCGCAGGCGAACCTCCTTCTCAGCCCAGCGTTCGCGACACCAAGACTCCAGGTCGGAGGAGGAGGAGGGAAGTGACGACACGGGGTAGCGTCGGACATGGAAGTGGATCTCACGCGGGAACTGGCCCAATATGAGGTGACGTTCTGTCTGAGGGATGTTTTTGGGGTATGCCACGGTAATGTCATGCACGGCATCCAGGTTGTCTCCTATGAAAAGACACAGAACTTTAAATCTCCAAGGCAAACATTCTGCTTGTTAAAAACACCTTAAAATCTATGGGAAACATTTAGAATTTGAGCATGGATTAAAGATTATCTATTAGATTATGAACTGCTAAACAGGTCCACCAGCAACACTCATTTTATTCTACCTATTATACAGACATAACTAATTATCCCTGGGCTTTTTGCTTTGAAACTACCAGAAATTCTAAACCGTCATATATGATCTGCACTGCCTTCACAGCACACCAAGAGAAATAAATGACCCATTAAAAGTACAGGATGACATCTGCCTGCTCCTGGTTGAGCTTAGTTCAGCCATGGTAAAAATAGAGCCTGGAGGGGCACAGCAGACGTGGACAAAGGGAACATGCACATGGTGTCATTCAGTGGTGGGGAGAGAGGGGGTGAGAATTAATCTGATGATATCACACTGATTAACCACACCTGCTTGGTGAGTTAATGCTATGCTCAGCATCCAGGGAGAGTGTGGGTGAGACAGTAGGACCAGAGGTGGTATTTAAGTCTGTAATGTAAGCTGAAATGGCTGGCAGCAGGATTTAGCTTAGGTCTCGCCCTTAAAAGAATAACAGGTATGATGCCTCTTCTACAAACATCAGTGGAATGACTGTAGTCATTGTGCTAACACATTATTTTCCATTAGTTTTGCTGATGCAAAGTTTCCACCCTGATGGCTTGAAGTCCAGCTTACTGTCATTTCAACAAACAATTTCCATCTGGAAAAAAATGGACATGTCACTTTTCTGACTGCGGATGACCTGTAAATAGATTGCTATAACGTTAAATGAACACATTCCATAAAATCAGATCATCCTGACCTTTTCGCAGTCTCTCCACAATAAAGGTGAATCCGGTGGAGCGAGGGTGTAGCACATACTCAAACTTTGGCAGGTTGTTTTGAACAGCAAACACATCGCTCTTGGCTCTTGTGTTCTCTACAGGGAACACGCAGGAGAAACTTCAGCTTCAAATGTGGAATATCAGGTTACACATGCTGTATGTCTACATGTTTTCACACTGCTTTTAGGTTTAGATGAGTACATAAGCATTTTAATGGATTTAACTTGTCAGTTTTAAATGATAAGCCAAGGACTCTAAACAAGCCAGGTCCTCTTACTAACAAAAGCACACTAAAGCTACAAAACAATATTGCAGCTCATTTTATGAATAATGCGGTTACAATAATGACATTTGTTAACATATAACACTACTGAGGGGGGATAACTTTATATTCCATAGGGACATACTAAAGGAAAAAAATATGATAATTTATTAGTCATATTATGTAACAAGGAGTTAATTCAGATAAACCTCAAAGACCAAAGAATAGCATACTGGGGAAGATAAGGACCCTGCTCTCAATTACCTTTAGAAGCAGTAACTTGTCTCTCTAAAACAGCCTTTCATTCAGTTCACAGGTTCTACAAGCTTTGCATGGAGTCATGGAAATTTTTCTAAGCTTAAGTGTACCCTGAACTTGATCCTGGAGATGGGGGTCTGCATGTTAGCCTCTGGAACACAGTATTAGCGGAGTAACAAATGTGACAACTTCCATAAAAGACAGAAGAACACTGTGTAAACATATCCTGGCTTCATGCGTCAAATTAGCCTTTGGGTTTAAGAGGTTTAAAAACAAACTGGTGTACATGCAAGCATGGACTCGCATAATGCGGGGCGCAAACACGACAGTAAACAATATCTAAAACCCAAAATAAACAGACCAATTATGTTGCAACTAAACTGGACCATCATGACATGACGCATTAAGAGATGATAAGCCTTCATGAAGTCAGCTGCTGGAGGCTTTGATAAGCTGAATCAAATGGGGCGTGGTTTGGAATGAGTTCAGAGCATTCTTCCAGAAATGACTATGCGGAGCGTGTGTGTCAAGGGGTTTAGCTATGCCTTTGCACTTTGAAATGATGTTCGCATAATGGTGTCAGAGCAAAGGTGCAAAGCAGGTGTCAGGACACGCTGAGCTCTGGAAACTGGCTGGTGGGTTACACATTCTGAGAAGGAAATAAAAGCACATTGTCCTGTGCATGGAGAGGGATCTGTGGCCATCACTCCTTACCGGTGAGGTCTGTCCCCTCAGGGAACAGCAGCAGCTGCAGGGGCTCGCTGATGTCACAAAAGTAGTCCAGCATGTTTTCCAAATGCTTCTTGTCCACTTCCCAGCGACGCTGGATGAAGACAAAGCAGGCCACCTGCATTGCCCAACCTGCAAAGTCCATACGAAGGCATTACATGTAGAAATTATTAGTTTCTGATTTTCAACTGCTCTTCGTGCCAAACTGGGTCTGCCTTTCTCAGATAAGGCACGTCTTCATACCTGCTAAATGATTCACTCACATTACATGTTTGTAAATACAGCTAGTCTAACCAGTGTCCTGTGAAATCTGAGTAATTGTCTTCCATACCTTTGCCTCACCCAGAACATCGTTACTTTCTCACGCTTAGGACTACTAGTCAAACTTTAATCAGTTCATTTCATTTGCTTGTCAAAAGTAAATTCCTAAGCACTCATACTTTGGAGGAAATACAGTGTGATGACATGCATATTGAAGAGTGTGTGTTTGCGTGTGAAAGAGCTCCCACTGCATACACACCGAAACCAGGTACAGCCTTGAGTGCAGCCTTGAGGCAGATCTTTTCCAGACGAAGGTAGCTGTACCTGAGAAGACAACACCACAGGAACATCCAGTCCAGACGGGTGCGGTGGTTCATGATGATCACACTTCGCTCCCCCGGAATAAAGCCATCACCTGTAATCACCACCTTCACCCCAAACACAAGCTCCAGCAAAGACTATCCAGGAGAGAAATAACAGCGTACAAGAGAAAGAAAAGACGGAAGAGTTGTTAGAAAGACAGAAAAAGATGATGGTGATCACGTAATGGTTTGAAAACAATATCGAGACACTGGGAAAATTAAAAATGGACAGAATTTGGAGAATGTGAGAGAAAGAAAATAAATGAGGCAATCACTTCTGAAGCCAGTGTACACAAAGTCTGTGTGTGAATAGTTTAGGTTTAATCAGACTTCATTAGCTGTAGTTATGACTAATTAAAATGTAATTAAATATGGAGGCTGCAGAATGCTGTTTCAAACCAATTGAACTTCAGACCACCAAGTGTGCACATTAGATGGCTAAGTAAAGGTTAAAGTACGCACCACAGGCAGTGTGAGCCAGGTAGCAACGATTCGATCAGTGATCCAGCGGTAGAGAGCAGGAGAGAGCAGCATGAGTGGCAAAACTGGGCCCAGCATGAAGATACTTCCAAAGAAACTACCCAAAAACAGGGTGATGACAAAATACAAGCCACGGACTGAGACAGCCATCTGTGAGAGAGAAACAAGACAGGAATATCTCCAGTTAAAAAAATAATAGTTTGGGGCAGTTAAAGAGCAAAGAAAAATTCAGTCTATTAACCATCCATGGACTATAGACAAATGCTAAATGTGTAACATGAAACAAATGCGGTCGTTACTTTTGAGGACTTTTTCTGACATTTTATCTGTTCTACGGTGAATCAAAGTCTGAAACATTGGGCATCTAAAAAAAAAAAAAAAAAAAAACCCTCTAGGGTGGAAATGTCTTGGTATTCAAAACCTAACTTTGTGGGCTTCACCTTTAAGTTTTAACTTGATGACAACTTTTCACTGATCATCATTTGTCCCAGGCTTGTATAACACAAATAAATAAATAAAAAGCAACAACCGTATATTAGATTTATGCCGATTGAAACCACACAAGGGGGTGGAGTACTGGTTTTGTATGTTCATGCATGTTTGTCAACAGCTGAAACAATCCATAAAAAGCCATGGTGACCAGATTCTTAAGTGGAAAAAAAAATAGGACCTTGAACCGCCCATGACATATCTGATAGGCTAACATGACTCAAGTGAACATGCCGGAGGGCATCTCCTGTCATTTCAATTAGATCATGAGAGACTACCTCTGTTTCCATTGCTAATGGTACAACAATGAAACACTCTGACCTGATAATACCTCATTTGGATTGTGTACTTCACTGGAATTCTCTCAGCTCATCATGCATTCAAACCCGTTTTGCTGCATAGACACGTTGACATCATGACATTCTTAGAATAGCTCACAAATTTAATTCCTTTGTGGATTAACCTCTGCGTTACATGAACACTCACCTTAAATCTATAGCAAGGACTTTTTTTTATCTTAATCTATTCAAACAGTTCACTGTTAAAATAGTTTATATGACCAGTTTGTACAGCCACCTGCTGCAGTCCATGTATAAGCATGGTATGAACAGGTGGGATTTACTATCCCTTTCCAGTTAACAAGCATTTTTGGATTTGTGTGTATGTGTACATGACCCTGCTGATCTGAGTCCAGAAAAAAGAGAGCTTGCTGTTCTCTTGCCAGCGGTAAGATAAAGGCTTACCGCTAAGTAGTCAGCACTGATGTTCAACACCAAATCTAAAACAAAAGATTTGAAAAAGTATTGTGGAGCACACTACACCAATAACCTTTGGAATCAGACGAGAACAAGGAGTCGCACAAAAAGCACCTGGACCCGACAGTGGAGAACTACGCCAGCTCCCCTGAAGCAGCAGGCTGTGGCACCACTGTCACATGTGCAGTCAGAAGCATGACTTCTGTTGCAATGCTGAAGAGACGCAATCGAAAGGCATAAAAAGTGACTGGAAAGAAAAACTGTGTGCAGCAAAGGACTGGTAACCAAAGCTGTGAATAGCTGCATCTCGGCCCTGGGCCTTTAGGATAGCTTCAGGTTTGGGAATGTGCATAACTATAGACATTGTGCAATAAAAAGAGTCAGCTGCTTGTAGTCTTAAGATTTGCAAACTTCAGTAGATTTGTTTCAAGGACTGCAAAATTTACATAAAAAATAATAAAACACTTAATGATCGTCCTTCAGACATACTTGAAAAAGATTGACTTTTCTCTTCCCCCCAGTCATTTCCTTAAGGAAATTAGTTATATCGTTGAAAAAAGGCCTTTGGAACCAATATGGGGGGTTCAAACGTACCTTAACAGTATCGTAAGAGCAGCAAAGCAATGTTAATGGCAACAAAATATTCAAACATGTACAAAGAAGTGTGCTGTCTGAACAAGTGATTAATCGTATACATGCAAACAAGTGTTGCATTACAGATATCAATGCCCTACAGTTTATGACTCCTCCAGTCATTCACCACCTGATCTACTTTCCACAGCTGTGCTCTTTTAGCCACTGTCCGTTAATGATCGATCTAATGGTTTCTGCTGGAGGATCTTTCCACTGAGTTACTGACATGCTACTGCCTGTCCATGATAAAAACAGTGCCCTGCAATAATGACGAAGTGTCAGTCACCCTGTCAGCTGAACACCACCGTAAAGTTGAGACTACACAACAAGTGGAGGACACAGCTGCACATTTGGCCTCCCAAGTCGAGCCAAATGTGCAGTCAATCACAGGGTGATTGACAGAAAGTGCATCTGAGTGAATGGGTTTGTACAACATGAACACCAATCAATTAAAAGAAAGAATTCAAAGGAGAAATACATTTCTGTTTTATTTGGTTCTGGAATTTGCTAATGATGATTGTTGTACTCCATTCAAGAGAAAATAACAGGCATCAAAGCATGTAAATAACAATTTATAACCAATAAAGAACAACCAATTCAAGCCTCTGTGGTAACCTAACCTGAAACTTTCAGCCAAGGAGAGATTGAATAAGTGTTGCGCTAAAGGATGAAGCTTAAGGAGCTTTGAGCAATTTACTTCAAGCGTTTCCCTCCTTCCTACAATGTGGATTTGCAGTTGGAGGAGAGCAGCAAAAGCTGTGGGGCTCTTTAACTTCCAAGTCATCCAAATCATCATCAAAGTCAGGAGAGAAAAATAATTCAATCTAAAGAGCGAGGATGTCAGGTGAACACTTCTAAACTATAACAAGTCTGGGACAGTAGGATAAGTACGAGTACAAAACAATGTTATTACATTATAGACTAGGGTTGTCACGATACTAAAATTTTCAACTCGATACCGATACTCAGGAAAATACTCGATACTCGATACCATTTTCGATACCACAAGGATAAAAACAAAGACCCCAAAATGTAACTGAATTTTGACAGGTTAATGTCTTTCATATCAAACTGACCTGTTACTGATGTTATCGTGGCTGGTGGCCCGAATTAATTACCCGAATCCTGACCCTAATCCTAACCCTAACCCTGACCCTGCCCCTGCCCCTGACCCTAACCCTCCACCCTTTATAATTGTGAGAAACAATTTTTGGGTTAAACTTGTTTGGACTTATTGTACAAACCTATTTAACATACACTATTTTAACATAATATTATGGATAGAGTTTAATTCAGTGTTTGAAAGATTAATTTCACTATTTTTAAATTAATGTCTATATTGCCATGAGGCATTACTATTTTCTTGCCTGGGATTTTCCTTTTGGTGACGTAATCAAAATGGCCGATTTGGATGTGGGCTAAGACGGATATGTACTTGATTAATGGTAGCATGTTATTGTTAGCCATTAGCCACAGCTAGCAATTCAAGGCTAACGTCACGTTAATGATCATAAACAACGTAAATAAATATATAAATAAATCTGAGAGAAGGGGTGCAGCGACGGCAGGTCAGCGTCGCGCGCGCACTCGCACGGGCTCGCGCGGTGGTATCGATACTTTTGAAAATGAGTATCGTATCCGGATACAACATTTTAGTATCGATACTTTTTTAAGTATCGATACTTTTGACAACCCTATTATAGACTGTAACCCATCTCTGGCTCCATAAAGAAAATGGAGTAGGGTCAGTGTTTCATCAGTCTTCCAACACCACCGACATGATACAAAGACTTTTACTAGCATTAGATTGAAATCATTAGAATGCTGAAAACCAATAAAAAGGTTGACTTGCATAGGGTGTGTGTTCAGGCGGCGGCATTGCTGATGCAGGAAGTCTGAGCTAATCCCACTGGCACATCTATCCCACAACAGGTGTTTTCCTCACCTATACCAACTTAAGCTCATAATTTCCTCCTAAATTACTCTCATGACCGCACAAGCCTTTGGATCAGACAACATACTCATCATGTTCCTTCCACACACTCATACACACATCCTCAGTGGGACCATTACACAGCATTTCTTGCGGCAGAAGCCAAAGTGTCCAAAGATACATTTAACCAATGCCAAAGTGTTTGTGTGCAGGACTAAACTGGTAATAAGGGTTAACGGGTTGATGGGTTTAACTATGGAAAATGTGAGCCATAAGAGGTGAGGATATCAGGCGTGTTCAGCACTACTGTCACAATTAGGGCTGTGTCCCAACCCATGCAGAAGCACACCTCTTGGGTGGCTGCTGAAACAATTAGATGAGCCAACTCATGAAACAACATTAGACGCGGCACACCTGGAGCCAGGGCTTTAGGAGACATTCGGAAATATGAACTTTAAAGTGTTCAATAAACATGTTTTTGTTCTGCTTTGAGTGAACACCAGGGACTCATCAATTTTCTATATCAGGCCTCCACAGAGACTTTTGTTTTTATAGAGCAGGGCCAGAGCCACTTGTGCGTTTTATTTAGTCCCATCCATTTTGTTGATTTCAAATGTATTTATTCACCATAGAAATAGTCCAGAAAGTGCTCTCCCAGAAGAAAGCGCCACACACAATTCACAGCATACTCCTTGCTGTCCAAGTCTGAATTCTCTGGCAGGCATTTTGCATTCCTAACTTTGAGCTAAGACCAGACATCCCAACGCAGCAAAACAGAGTGAAGAGGTCAAACATGTCCAGGCTAAACAACGGGTTTAAGTGGTGTGTGTGTGTATGGGTCTGTATAAGAAACTAAGCAAAAGGGACAGAGAAAATGGAGGATTGAAAAAAGAAGAGTTTACATAACAGCAGTTACTTTGAGATATAAAAAGAAACTGTCTTCACAACCGAACTATTCGTTTGCTCGATGAAGCAAATCTTAGATATAGAAAGCCGGGGAACTATGGACCATGTTGATTCAATGCGGTACGCACTGAATCAACGTTCATAAAAACAGAACAGACAAAATGTGTACGTGTGTACACTCATCTTTGCATCATCATCATCCTGAAAAAATGACCACATTCCACATTAATGGAATGAGATTAAAAATGTTTCCCAAATTTCCATGTACATCTGGTTCTTTCACGGTCCCGTCTCAGAACAATCATGTCCTTTCAACATTACAAAGGGAACTCATAAGGTTCCCTCACTAAAATGAGTAAACAGTTATTGTATGCAAAGACAAATGCCAGTATAGCGGATTTATGTTCAAAAGACATTTGTCCATATGCGGGAAT